TTGGGAGGAGGGATAAATTAAGGAACCTTCATTCGGAATCAAATCAAATATGGACAGATATGATTAATATCTAGAATGCTATTCATAGAGTTGTCCTAAGATTGAGCACGATGAAGATCAGTTTCATCCCAGCAACGGGATGCAGAGTCATTTGATTTGCCGAATGATCATGCAGTGCAGCCAATTTTCCGTTGATATCTGTTGATGTGTTTGTCCCTTCTATTGTATGCATGATAACCAAGCCCATACAGAGAGAGAGAGAGAGAGATAGAGAGATGACAATATAGTTCATGAGAAATGTCACACTTATTTCGATTTATCAGGAACGTTGCCTCCACACAAACACAGCCATGGTTTCACCCATGGCAACAACCCCAAGAAATGATGCACAAATATCATCCAGATCCACGGCATCAGGCTATGGGTGCACAAATCCTGCTTTCAACATTGGATTTGTGTAGCTCCGGGCTCTGCAGCGCTCTTTTGTCCCACCTGTGGATATAGGCGACGTTTGGACGTGTTATTTTTTTGGCCGGGGGGTCATGTATCCAAACAAACTTGAAGATGTAGCCAGCAAGAAAAACAAGAACCTGCTGAACCTGCTGTTGGATGTTTCTTTCATGAACGAAGTTGCCATTGCCTCGCTTGATGATGTGATCTTTTGGTAGGGCGAGGGGACTTTGGAGGTTCATCAGCTTGAGTTTCCAATCCACATGGTACTTGGGGGTCAACGTTACGGGTCTGTTTTTTTTTGTTCCCGCAGCAGTTTTTATATTCAGCGTTGTAGGTTGATGCAGCATTGAATGATTCCTTATTAATAGCTTATGAGCAGATGTATTTCTAGAAGTTGCTTGTATTTTCCTGATCCTTGCTACTTTGCATTGAAGGGAGCTACAGTAACTGCCCTTGGTCCATGGGTTTCAAAGCATCTGGAGGTTGTTGGTGACCATCCCGTTGGAAGAGATTCCCAGTTGGTTTGAATAACCATGTTCTTCATTGCTTCATATCTCTGGTTCTCTTTCTGATCTCAGATCTCCTGCTTGACGCTTGACAGTTCTGCAAGTTGCTGGCTGCTTGAATCCCAATTTCTGGTTTGAAAACATCATCCAAAGATCCAATCAAACCCATAAGCCATAAGTCTCCATTTTTGCGTGTTAAAGCTTTAATCACTTTAACGAGGGGAACAGAAGAAAAAAAAAACATCTAAAATCATCATCCATGAGGTTTTCCCCCATGTCTATCCATTTCTATCATTTCTGCTCGTTGAAAACCTCTCCTTTCGCACATCGTCCATCCTCCTGGAGGTATCGGCGAGGCATTGAGAGCTCCTGGAAGGTCTTAGAAGTCGCGGGGAAGGACTCGCAGCGTTGCCCAGCCAGCCATCCAGGTATACATTACAATAGATAAAATTGTATGTAATATATTAATATGTGTGCTTCATTCGAAAAGATCTAGATAGATGGATAGATAGATAGATAGATTGATTGATTGATTGCTTGATAATGATTGATAGATAATGATTGATAGAACATGATAGATAGATAATGATTGATAGATGATGATTGATAGATAATGATTGATAGATAATGATAGATAGACAATGATAGATAGATAGTGATAGACAGATAATGATAAATAGACAATGATAGATAGATAGTGATAGACATATAATGATAATTAGACAATGATAGATAGATAATGATGGATAGATAGATAGATAGATAGATAGATAGATAGATAGATAAATAGATAAATAGATAATGATAGATAATGGTAGATAATGATAGATAGATAATGATAAATAGACAATGATTGATAGATGATGATTGATAGATAGATAGATAGATAGATAAATTATGATAGATACTGATAGATTAATGATTGATAGATAATGATAGATGGATAATGATAGATAATGATTGATAGATAATGAATGATAGAAAATGATTGATAGATAATGATTGGTAGATAATGCATGATAGATAATGATTGATAGATAATGATAGGTAGAAAATGATATATAGATAATGATAGGTAAATAATGATAGATAGATTGATTGATTGGTTGATTGATTGCTTGATAATGATTGATAGACAATGATTGATAGATAATGATAGATAGATGATGATAGATAATGATCGATAGATAATTGATGGATAGATAATGATAGGTAGATAATGATATATAGATAATGATAGATAGTTAATGATAGATGAGATAATGATAGATAGATAATGATAGATAGATAATGATAGATTTATATATAGAAAGATAATGATAGATATATAGATAGATAACGATAGATCTTTAATGATAGATAGATAGATAGATAGATAGATAGATAGATAATGATAGATAGATAATGATAGATAGATAATGGTAGAAATATATAAAATTATATTTAGATAGATAGATAGATTATGATAGATAGATAATGGTAGATAATGATAGATAATGATAGAAAATGATAGATAGATTATGATAGATAGATAGATAGATAGATATATAGATATATAATGATAGATAGATAATGATAGATAGATAATGATAGATAGATAATGATAGATAGATAATGATAGATAGATAATGGTAGAAATTTAAATAATGATATATAGATAGATAGATAGATTATGATAGATAGATAATGATAGATAATGATAGATAATGATAGATAATGATAGATAATGATAGATAATGATAGATAATGATAGGTAGATAATGATTGATATATAGATATATATATATATATAGATAGATAGATAGATAGGTAGGTAGATAGATTAGATTAGATAGATAGATAGATAGATAGATAACTTTATAGATAGATAGATAGATAGATAGATAGATAGATATATAGATAGATAGATAGGTAGGTAGGTAGGTAGACATATATATAGTTAGATCGATAGATAGATAGGTTGATAGATAGATAGATAGATAGATCGATAATGATATATAGATAATGATACAATATATAGATAATGATAGATAGATAATGATAGATAGAGAATGATAGATAGATTATGATAGATATATTATGATAGATAGATAGATAGATAGATAGATAGATAAATAGATAGATAGATAGATAGATAATGATAGATAATGATATATAGATAATGATAGATAGATTATGATATATATATTATGATTGATAGATAGATAGATAGATAGATAAATAGATAGATAGATAGATAATGATAGATAGATAATGATAGATAGATAATGGTAGAAATATATAAAATTATATTTAGATTGATAGATAGATTATGATAGATAGATAATGGTAGATAATGATAGATAATGATAGATAATGATAGATAATAATAGATGATGATAGATGATGATAGATAATGATAGATAGATAGTGATAGATAGATAAATAGATAGATAGATAGATAGGTAGATAGATAGATAGATTAGATTAGATAGATAGATAGATAACGATTGATAGATACTGATTGATAGAGAATGATTGACAGATAATTATTGATAGATAGTGATAGATAGATAATGATTGATAGATAATGATTGATAGATAATGATTGATAGATAATGATTGATAGATAATGGTTAATAGAAAATGATTGATAGAAAATTATATATAGATAATGATATATAGATAATGATATATAGATAATGATTGGTAGATAATGATTGATAGATAATGATTGATAGATAATGGTAGGTAGATAATGATAGATAGATAATGATAGATAGATAGATAATGATAGATAGATAGATAGATAGATCGATAGAAAGATAGATAGGTAGATAGATGGAAATATAGAAAGATAGAAAGATAGATAGATCATGATAGATAATGATAGATAATGATAGATAGATAGATAGATAATGATAGATAGATAGATCGATAGATAGATAGATAGATAGGTAGATAAATGGAAATATAGAAAGATAGAAAGATAGAAAGATAGCTAGATAATGATAGATAATGATAGATAATGATAGATAGATAGATAATGATAGATAGATAGATAATGATAGATAGATAGATAATGATATATATATATATATAGATAATGATTGATAGATAGAGAGATAGATAGATAGATAGATAGGTAGATAGATAGATAGACAGATAGATAGATAGAAAGATAGGTAGATAATGATAGATAATGATAGATATATAGATTATGATAGATAGATAAATAATGATAGATAGATAGATAGATAGATAGATAGATAGATAGATAGATAGATAGATAGATAGATAGATAGAGAGATAGAGACAGAGACAGAGACAGAGACAGAGACAGAGGGAGGGATTTGGAAAGTGCGTATCCACACATGCACACTCTTTTTGTAATAGCCTGAAACCTGCGGCATATCCATCAGGAACTGGGATCACAATAACCTGGTTTGTTTCAATGTCTATAGTTTTTGTTCCCCGAATCTTTTCATCTACCAAGATATAGTTTTTCTTGTTTTTGCTGAACCATTAATCGCCCAACCAGAGCCCAGCCTGAGTCCGCTAGGAGTGTGTCCGCTGGCTGGCGCTGATCACCTACTTCGCCGTGAGTCGGGCCAGTGCCAGGCCTTGGGTCTTGCCGGGGCGAGCGATGGGCGAGCGATGGCCCGATGGCCCGGTCATGTTTGTTACAAGGCTATGACAAATATTGGAAAATATTGGAAAATGGATCAACATGATGATTTACATAATTACTTGAAATGGTGAGGTTCAATCATATGTGTTAAACTGCCGGCTAACATGATGATAGCTCTGAAGATGGGGGGATTTGCCTGCAAAAAGAATCTGACGTGGCCGACAAATTCTTATGTCAAAACATCCAATGCAATATCTAATGTTCTCGTTGAATATGGATTCCCATGGGTGACAGACGGCACTTTTCTCCTCCCCTCCCTCTCATGTTGAGTCCGTCCCAGTTGAGGAGTCTTCTTGGAATGGGTTAAAACCATCAGGTCGTTTTTGTTGAGTTCAAGGGGGATGGAACGGAAATACCAAGAACGGAAATGTTCATGTCGGATGGTTGAAAGTTGAAACCTTATGAATAATGGAATAAACCACCTAATCATTTGGTGCAGGATTTCGCAACCATCCACTGTATGTTACCTTCTTAGTAGACATGGTTCATGAATTTCCCCGATTTCTGTGACAAACGGCTACAGGATCATCTACAAGCATTTGCTGTCCGGCGCCCATGATGGAAGGCCCTTTTCATTCAACCTCTTTTGGCCGGCAGGCTGGTCAAGTCTTGCTGCAGGTTGTGGTGCCCATTTTTTTGGGATCCCGGGATCGTGTCTATGATATTTTGTCGTGCCCATGTCATACCCATACCCGAGGGCATTCTCTGAAATGGAGCATTTACAGTATTTTTTCTCACTAAAACGACTCAAAGTTCCCTGCTAATCATATGGCTTTGTACGGATGGAAATGTGAATGGATTTATTGTCACATTTATAGATTTTATAGCAGACTCAGGATCAACTTATCAACCATGGTCGTCCGCGCTGGCAGTTTTCCTGATGCATACTGAGCCTCAACCAGAATGGATGTTGCTGGCAGATGCATTGATCTCTGCGCCTTGGCTGAAAATCGTTGTTTAAAACTGGCAAAAAAGGCCAGGGTAACCATCAAAAATGGAAGTATCGATTTAATCCACAAAATTCGCGGTTAACCGTCAGAGATGGTGATTCAACCGGCCAAAACATTGATTTGAGCGTCAAAACCAAAGATTTTAAGCAATGAACATTGTAAATTCGGAGCATCAGTGGGGCTCATAGAACCAACCATAGTGGGGATACAATGGGGCCTGGAGTATAGTATAGCCCCAGATAATTTGGGCATAACCCAAAGCCGCCATCTATACATCGGGAAAATGATGATTTCGCCATGATAAACCCTTGGATTTGATGCATCGGGTCTTCGGCTGCCTGTTGAGCCATACCCATGTCATCCCCCAAATTCCAAGTAAGGAACCTTTTTTTTCACATGTACATGTCTTCTTTTTCCATCTTTCTCCAGTGGAATTTCATAATAGCACCGGAAACTCCAGGAAAAGTGCTTTTTGTTGCACCTTTATAAGCACCTGAAAAAGCACCTCTTTGTAGCTCTTGTTTTGTTTCTCACCCGGGCTGTTCCCAGCCTATTTCCCAGCCAGTTGCTCAGGCCTGCAGTGTAGCTCTGAAGCGCCTGGCCAGGAGCTGGCAGTGGCGCCTGCCACTGTTGTTCCCTCCGCCGGTGCAGATTCCATCCTCCTGTCATGAATTCCTCATGCAGCTGCACAGCAGAATTTCAGGACATAAAACATGACTGCGGCCATGTTTGTAGTCATGAAAAATGCGGATGAAGATGGTTTTAATATGGTTTTATATGGTTTTAACCAGGAAAGTATGGAAATATAAGTGGATATAAAACTGATAAGTGATGCTTGGTTGATGATTAGTTCGGGAGTATGGTCAATACATTGGGGAATATCACTATCCATCAGCGGGCTATCCCATTCTCAACCAGGGAGGACGCAGGCTTTTGAGCACTGCACATTGGACTTTGACTTGATTGTCCCAACTCGGAATTCCACCAGAAATATCCAGAAATTGTGTTTTTGTTGGGGGTAACAGCTTCCTGATATATATATATATAGGTACAATTAGAATCAATTAGATAATTTTTAGATAATATATGTATACGTATGTATGCTATTTCAAGAAGTGTGTGGAATTATTTGAAGCAAATACAAGTAAATATGAGATTGTTTTTTGGTTGGCCACCATGTTCATCTATTTTCGCACATGCCCTAAGATATAGCTAAACACCCAGAAATAGACATTTTTTCATGTCCTCATGTCCGCGAAGAACTCCTCAATGAAGAGCTATAGACATCAGCCTGGTGAAGCCTTTGAATTGGGGCAACATCCATGAGGTGACCATGGATGGCACTTTGGTTTCCTTTGACATCCGCCACTGTCGCTTTCAGAACCAGAAAAAAAAAGGCGGAGATAGGTCAATTCCTGATCTCAAGCCATGTTAGTTCAAGTTTGAATCACGGAGAATCATGTGCATTCTATATGATATGGACATGATATAATATAATGATCCCTGTGTATATTTCCACTATGAAATGGCTTGACCCATGTTCCATTCCAGGGGCATTTTTGTAACAAACGGAGGCATTTTGTAAGGATTCTTTTCTGGTTAACCATGCCATTTTGTAAAAAACGTGTTTTTTGGAAAAAAGATTGCGGGGTTTCCTGCGGAAAGTTGGACATGTACAAGTAAGACATATTTCCAAACCAACCATTTTATAAGACACAAGCTTATAAGATGATTGGGTTTGGGGCCTGGAAATAAACTTGGGGCATGCATTTTGTAAGGCGCCAGTTTTTTTTTGTTTTGGTTCACCGGTGTTTGCTGGGGAATCACACCAAGCCTCCTGCCCAACCCATTTTATAAACTCCAAACCATGGATCTTTGTAAGGTTAACTGCTGGGTCCCTTACAAAATGGTTGCCTTGACGTCACCTGGTAAATGTGCAGGGGGATATATAATGAAGATCGATATCATCAATACACATGTGCAGATACAGCTCAACAGGCCGATGTACCTGTTGTTGTTTCACGTAATTTCATGTAATTTCTATCTAATTTGCAATGTTGATGGTCAGCTAGTAAGAAAATCCCCATACATGACAAGCGGCTTGCCGATCCCACTCAGGCTTCTGTGCGCATCCACTTTGAGACTCAGCGAGATTCTCTTGATCATCAAGGGTCATCGAGGAAGTGCCGAAAGGCTGCGGAGTTTCTTTGATTTCACAGTGAACTTTTTCGCCCCTCGACTGGGCATGACTGGGGAGGGCACGTATCTCTGCAGCTGAAACACGTGTTTTTGTTGGCGTCTCAGAACACTTAAGGATAGGTATTGTATAACTTTCCAGTAAGTCAGTAAGGTTCCCAAGTAGTCCCCCAAAAAAGCCAGATAAGCGTGAGAGATCCAACATCCAAGGACGTAACAGCTACGTCTTTTAGGGTTACGCTATGTTACGATCAAGGGCTTGGACCGCTTGGCTGAGGCGATCTTCTATCTACATCGGGAGTTGGTCAGGAGCTTCAAGGTCTGCGTGAGAGATGCTCGGTCAGACCGGCCGTTCAGAACGTCAGAAATCGAAGAACATGGAGAACAAGAGGACAACAGATATCAGTGATATCAGACTATTTCCGCCCCATTTTCAATCTATTTCAAAGTCTACTTTTCCCAGTTCCATCATCAAAAATCTATGGCATGGAATGCCATGGGTTGCTGCTGTGGGATCACTAGATTGCTGGGGTCGGTCCTGGATGGTCCTGGGGTATCCAAGGACAGTACAAAGGTGTTGTCCTTCAAGTCCTGAGCGCTTGGCCGGACTCGGCCGCGGCTGTGCAGTGGATGTCAGATCCCCAAAATTCACCACTCTTTACACCGAATGAGTGTCTCGGGTTTTATCCGCACTTTATCAGATTATCACATATTATCACTATAGCTTGATATAGCTCGAAAATAGCAACCAGCTTCCCAGATTCCAGTAATCCATGTATTGCGCAATCTGAGCTTTGCTGGAAAGTGGTCCCGCAGGTTTGCAGTGCCACCCATGATGGCATAAGCAAATGTTTGCATCGCATCCAGGTTGCACTTCCGTTCCCCTACCTGGGCCTTATGGAATCGATACAATCTGAGACCGTATATTCGATATATTTCGATATATAGCAAGAGAAAATGATCCCAGCAATCTGGGTCAACCTTGGGTTGATACTTCATGCTACTTCAATATTTTCATATTTCGCTCCATATAGAATTTCACATTTCGCTATGCATAATGTATGTGCATATATATATTTGTATTAATATATATATATATATATGTGTGTGTGTGTGTGATTGATATTGTTATGTATACATATATATATTGTGGGTATATGTATGTAAAAATGTATGTGCGTGCATTATGCGCAGTAGATAAAATACAAATACTACCCAGCTCAGAAAGAACACGTTTTTGCAGGGAATCTAAGGTTGGCAATTTTTAGTGTACTGAAGTGTACTGGAGTTATTTGGACGAAAGGGGAAGGGATTCTGAAGTGGCTGGAATCTGGAATCGTTCTACCTGTTCTGACCTGATGTTAGGTCTTCTACATTAAATTCTATGTTTTTTTTCTAGGAGACAGGGGTTCTAAACGCCTGACTAGGACCACCTACCAGTTAAGATCAGCTACATGGGCCATATCTGACAGATGCCCATGATCTTTGGCTCTGCAGAGCACAGCTCTGCCGCCGACGCACGGCGCAACGCGTCGCAACGCCAGCAAAAACTTAAGCCGGACTGGCCTGGGAAGCCCTGACCGGAAGGATTTGTCATGAAAGAATGGGATTTAAATGGATTTACTATATATAGTTACTATATATTTTACTATAGTTACTCTATATATGTCATTAATTGGCAAATCTGGGGAAGAAAAAAGCGACAAATCCACTGATATACCGATATTTCATCTGGTTATTTAACATAGCCATGGAAAAATCCACCATTTTTAAGAACGGTAAACCATCTATTTCTATGGGCCATCTATACCATGGCTATGTTAAATAACCAGAGGGTATATATTTCATTAATTGGCACATCTGGGGTATTTAATCGACAAGAGAATGGATTTCTCAACATGAGGCACAAATGGCTACCAACAAAAGACAGGGCGCAATAAACAACCAATACATACCAATACAGGGTATCGCCAACCCAGTTTAAGGCCCTAGAGATCTTGATCCCAAGAAATGGGATGGATCATTTGCAGGGAACTGTTCGAGGCCTGACAGCCTGACATCACCAAGCCGAAACGGAGTTCTGAAGTAAAAGTTCTAAAAGGCTTACATCCTTTCTTAGGGGAATCAAAGGTTTATGCTCAGAGCCTAGGCCCCCTTCACATATCGGCCTGCGGCGAAGATTAAAGGGGAAACGGTCTGGAAACTCATGTTTTTAGTTACCCTTCCATCGTTGAGCCGTTTTCTGTAAAGAAATGTTCAACCCCTTTTGGAAAAAAAACACTCATGTAAGTCTCCCCACTGCAGCTGGCATGAGACTTGTCACTTTCTTCCATATCTTCAGTATATACTTTAGCATATACTTTCGGGGAGGAACATCCACCATCCCTTACCACATATGTTGGTGGTCATATGTGATGAGGGTTTTGACTGACGAAGCTACCCATGATGAGGGCACTACCGGAAGCAGAGGTTCGAAGTGCCCTTGCCCAACCTCGCATCTGTGGCAGCCCCAGTTCGGTCCCAGATGGGGGAATAATTCATATATTTATGTGGGATCCATACGTGGAGGTTCAGTTAAGGTTATAAGTATAGGTATAACCATAGGTAGGAACCCGCATGAGTTGGTAGATAACCACTTCTGTTCTGTAGTTATAGAGAACCATTTATTTGCCGAACTGGTGGTGGCCCAAGTAAACAATTTCGACATGTCAAGCATTTGAGGCTATGATAATTCATCCCACATGGGGAAGCAACTTTGGGATACTTTGGGATGGTCACTCTGACGGCTGTACCCGTTGATGACTGGGGGGGCTCTCTGACCGTAGCTGCAGTCACATCGTATCATGTACTATTTGAGATGGTCATGAGGAGGCAAAGTATTCTGGCTGATGCTTTCATTCGCTCAATCATCGGTTTTCTAAGATCGGTTTTCAACATTTTTCAACATTTTCAACCCAACACATGGTATGACTCTCATATTTTCGGGGGTGATGATGGGTGAGGGGTGGCTCAACAGTGTGGTGAATCATCCTGGCCCAGGTCTACTTTGCTTTGAGGCATGCAGATGAAGAGTTTCTGGTGGAGTTGAGAACCAGGACCTGGATCTGGTTTCTGGGGAAGGTTCCAGGCTGTGGGCATTGCATGGTACATATGTGCATCGAATTTGATAAGAAACAACTGCTGCAATCAACAGAGTTTGGCAATGTTTGGGACTTATGTATCTTATGTCAGTAAGAGAATTTGTAAGACCAAACATGTGTCAAAGATGAGATCCGACCAACGTGTTTCGGCTCAAAAACGCGGGCCTGGAACAATTGAGAAAGGGCTCTCTTTGAGGTCATCCAAAATCATCATTGGACAGTCCAAAATCATCCGAAAATATGGCGAAAATATGGTGGTCATGGGTACCTTCAGATAGCTTCTGTTTTCATGATTTTATACGATTTTCATGCTGGCCATTGGCTCGTTTCTTTCACCAAGTCCATGAATTCCAGCCATTTTCACTGGCTGCTAGATACACTTAGATAGCAAAAAGTGCCATTTGGTAAGTTAGCATAGCTATTGAACCTGACCATTTGTATATAGAATATATGTATATAACTACATATGTAAAGATGTACCTGATTAGCCAATAAAGCATATGTTGATTTTCCAATGTGAGCTTTCCCGAGGATACAGCAAACAATTTTGAACCGCATTTTTGTTTTACCATCGCGATGTTCGACGTGGTGGAAGTTCGCTGGCCTTCGGAGCCCTTCATTTGGCGTCGTGCGCGGATATGGGACGTGAGCAATGAAGGTGCGATATGGAGACAGGCCAAGCATCTGATAGGATGCAATCCCCCAAACAATAGAAACATAAAATATCATAAAATCCTTCTGAAATACTGATAAATCACAGTTAACATCTTTTTGCGGGTTAACATACGCATTAAGAATCATATGCGTAATTAGGATTTATAGTTTTATATTTGGCAATTGTACGTGAAAAGTTCCTCATAATGATACGTAAGTTGCAACAAATCCATACATATGCTGTAAAATGATTGATGAGGGGGACCCTGCAAGAGTTTGCTTCAAGGTAGATTGGCGGCTATACTGGTATAGATCCAACATAACGATGGGCAAACTGCCGCAGCCTCCTCGAAGCTTTGAAGAGCATGTTGAAAATCTGATGGGAGTTGATCTGGCGAAGTCACAGCTGCCATTGACGACGGAAAAAAACACATCAAATGTAAAAATCTATATCTTTGCCATGGAATTTGCACGGACCTTTTGGCTGACGGGACCTCATTTTCCCATAACCTTCCCATACTAAATAGTGGCTTTGAACATGGAAGGAGTATGGGAGTAGCCCATTCCCATTATTGGGGGCCCCTATAAATTCCACTAATTTCTGATAGGTTCCTTGTCCTATCTTGTCCTCGACCCAGGTGTCACATGCTTCTTCGATGATGGCTCGGTGAATGAGATTGTCTTCGCCCATGAGGACGCGGGGCTGGGTGGCGATTGGATAATGGAGGTTTCCTGAAATGGGGGTACCCCAAAATGGATAGTTTATAATGGAACATGCAATTAAAATGGATGATTTGGGGGTAGCCCTATCCCAGGAAACCTCCATATTATATCATATTATCATAAATCAGCATCGCGATCATTTTCTATGGTCCTAGTCCTGATTTCATGTTTAGCAACATGTTTTGATCTTGACTCCTCATCTTTCGGAGTTTTGGATGTCTACAAGCATTCACCGCCAGCCGAACAAAGGTTGATGGTGTATAAACATAGCAGATTCTTGCCGTATGGGGACAGACAACGTTGGGTACCCCAAAGCAATCGTTTAGCATTATGTGTCTCATTGAATTTGCCATGATCTGAGGTATTTATTTCCGATTGGATAAACCAATGTCTACAGTAAATTCAATATTGACATAGATGAAAAAAAAACGCCATTTGTAGATCAGTTTTCTGTTGAAACCCATGGATTTCCGTCTGTACCCTCTGGTCATCAAACATGGTTTGCTGATGTTTGCTGGAAAATCCATTTAGTTTGATGATATTTTAACATATTTTAACCTTTTAGTTTTCCCATGCTACGTAATCCTATGTGCATCATGTACTTCAGGGATTTCCGTCACGTCGCCGCCGCCCCTGACGCCACAGGATGTGCGCTTCTTGAGCGAGGAGGAGGTTGATCCAAACTTCCGCCCTGAGCCAGGTGATCTCGTGGCACGGCGGCACGGTGACATGGTGAAGTTGTTGTGTGTTCGCTAACTGACAGAATAACGCACAATATATGCAATATAGAATATCACGCGCACACACACACACACCGCCCACATATATATATATATGTATATGTATAGGCATTTTTTAATGCATATGTATATGTATCTGTGTTTGTATATGTATATGTAAATGTATATGTATATCTATATGTACATGTACACGTATATGCATATGTGTGTTATGCGCATATGTGTATGTATGTGTATATATATATATAGATGTATATGAAATATGCATAGGCATATGTATAGGCGTATGTGTGTGTATGTGTGTGTTTGACTATTGTAGGTTTATATATATATATATGTATGTATGTATTTCATACATATAGACATACATATGTAAAAATATATATATATATATAATTATATATACATCTTTAGTTGCTTTATTGGTTTCTTCACAACACACATCTCGCTTCACCCGAGCTGAGGTGGAATACGAACTTTTGCCCACGCAATTCTCCTCTGGGGGATGGGCTGTAGCCAAGGCCCACAGAACTGGGAACTGGGAACTTCCGGATGCGAAGTTTTGTACTATAGCAACCCACCAAAGAAAATAGAAGTTGATAAAATCGTACTAAGAAATAATGATATACTTAAAAAATGATGATTGACTTTCTTTGTTTGGAGGTTTATACCAATCTCAGACCGGACAAGTGCAAGACCGAACTGGGCCCCTCAGCGACCTCGCCGTTGTTTGATGTCCTGCGAGGAGAAGTGATCCCAAACTTTGACCGGGGAAGTCCTTTGCCCATGGAATGTTTTATATGGTACCCTGTGTTAATTTACGTCCATTAATGGGTCATGGACCAATGGATGTTAATGGTGGTTCATATCCATTAATGGTTGATAATCGGATGAATATGGCAATATGGATTAGCCTCTGGTAATTTGTAACAGTTTGCTATTGAACATGGCCATAGAAATAGTGGATTTACCCATTGAAAATGGTGATTTTCCATAGTTATATAAACGTTTACCAGAGGGTAACTGTCATGACACATGTAACGGTTTCATATAATTCCTGATACTAAACCTGTTCCTGGGAATTATTGTATCATGAGAATGCAGACACATGAGCTATATCTTGGCAAGTTATGATTAAACATCATTTTCATACCCTAGGACCCTAGGACTTTAATAATATTAAAACTTTTGCCTGGGCAAACATTGTTTGGTCATATACTCTATAGTGTTGTGAACCAATCGTTATGGATGTACTAGTCAAAGTCGATCCTGCTGTGGTTTTTGGAGATGGCCAAATGGTAAAAGTCCCCAAACCATGGCTATATTACCCTAGTTTTCTAGGTACTTAAATCGTCTAGGTCCTAGGTGTATATGTATATGTATATATATATATATACGCAGAGATATAGACATACACATATATATATGTATATATACATTTTAATATATATATATATATATATGTTTATTTATAATTATATAAATTTCATTAAAAAAATAACATGTACGTATAAATGTACAGCATGTATACATGCATATGCATAAACAATCATGCATATATTCGTACATACATATGTAATGATAAATATTTCATATATAGATAGATGTATTTTTTAGATAGACATGTCATATATTTTGTATATATATATATCTATCTATTGTACAAATAGACATATCATATATAGATTTATTGAATAAACATATATTGATACATACATATGTAATGGTACATATAGAAAGATAGATGGATGGATAGACAGATAGCTAGCTAGGTAGATAGATAGTTAGATAGTTAGATAATAGTTAGATATTGCTTCCCTTACTGGTGCTTAGCAGGGAATGAGGGAATGATCCACAACACCTATCAATAATCATCCCAGCAACCCCCATTCCCATCCATTCCCTACTAAGCACCAGTAAGTTCTTAGATAGATACAATATCGACTATAGAATATCATGGAATATGGGATATCTACCTATCCTATAGATGGAATACGGGATATTCCATCCATCACAATCATATTCCATCACAATAGATACAATATTAACTATAGGATATTCCTATAATGGGATATCTATCCTATCTATCCTATATATGGGATATTGCTTCTTTACAATGGCAGTTATTGAATCACTCTTAGCACAGGTCCTCGGGCACACTGACTGCCTGTGGCACCTCCATACGCCCGAGCGCAGCGAACGTAGCGAATTGGCCGGGGAGGTGTTGATGCGCCTCGCAAGGGATCGGAGGTCGGAAGGGGGTGCTTCAAAAATGCCAGATTTTCAGGGTTTTAATAGGATTTACTAGGGTTTAATTAGCGTGGATTAAGAGGATTAATAATAGGGTTTCACATGGGTTAATTAATAGGATTTGATATGGTTTAATGGTATATTGATGATATATCAATGGGATTTTCAAGATGTTACACCTCATGCCCGCTGGTAAATTAGCATAGTCATGGTATAGATGGCCAATTGAGTGAGAAAGATTCACCTATTTCCCAAAAATGATCATTTTGTATAGCGGACTGTTCGCCTACTGGTTGGCATATGGGATTTTATCACCAAAATACTTTAATTCGAAATGAAATTCGAAATATTTTTTATGGCAATGAATTATGAAGTGTAAATTGGTATTAAAAAATGGGCACAATGGGATGTAACGAACCAACTTGATGTGTTATGTTTTAATGATGTGGGTCTGTTTGGAATCCGCCAATACTCCTCAGATACCTCTGTTTCATGGGGAACATCATGACAGTCAATTGGATGTAATGGCATGCCCAATTCTTACACACACCCACAAGAGTAGATCTGTACAATTACAAGTTGCTTTATTCAACTGTGTATCTATGTATATAAATGTCCACCCCACCATACAGCCCATAGTTACCGTAGTTGGGAAGGCACTTAGCAATATTGAGGCACACGACATTGCACTAGCAGTGGAAACCTTCCAGGTTGTTGTTGGGGGACGATGCTTACCATGTGATGATGTTGGTTGTGACTGGTTAAACCAAGATGAAGAGATCATCAAAAGCCTTTGGAATAATAACCCATGACCCCCCGATCATAGGAAGCTAAAAAGCGCGGGTGACTTTAAAAATAGCAGGTAGATAGTGACTCAATCAGCCAGAGTCAGGATAGAGCCCATCCATGTGTGTTCTTAGGTGCTGCTTTTGCACTCCTTTAGCCAATCAACATGGCAGTTTTATGGTTATTTTTCTACAGGAAACTGTTTTTTGGTCATGTAACAACATGAAACCAAACCATTGCCTGTTTTAGATTGTTTTAGTTTGGCCTAATGTGAGCCTACAAATGAGGAGTTCCCAAAAACCATTTGGTAGGTCATGATGGGGACTATTCAATGATTCTATCTAATAAACCAACTCATGGATTGTTATAAGTTATGGGCCCCCCTAAGAAACCCGCACAACAGTTTGTGAATTGACACCCTTTCATTTGCTCAGGCCCTTGTCACGGTTAAGACCCAACATCACACGAAACATCTGCGGGCTGCAAAGGGAGGAGGCCGGGCAACGGTGGAGGAGCCAGCCATGTGCAGGTTGCTTTCATGGTCACAATCATGAGGCATCCTGCACCTTCCTGTACATTCCTCAGGGTTGCTCTATATAAATGATTGTCACAAGAGTGGGGGAAATTTGTCATGTTATCTCTTTACTTCGCCAATTTGCCCCTTTCCCGAAAGGTATTTGGGGGCTAGGGAGCAACCCTGGCAACCGAATGTCAGGCCTTTGTGCAGAACAATTTGCTGTCAGAAAATGCCTCCACCTGTTTTCGACGGATTGAAAGTCTGGCTGTGGGCACCTTGCCGTGGTATTTGGTGAAACGGCAGCGCGGAACATCCAACAATTAGTAGAAACATGGGGAAAACAATGCAACAAAACTCCCTTCTTGCGGATTGGTTGTTGTTTTCTTTTGTCTTGATCGTTTGGGGACTGTTTCCCAACGTTGGATCGGGGATTATCAATGACCCAGTATCGGAACCCAGCTTGCAACAGAGAGAGTATACAACATGGCATAACATGGATTCCCAGCCATTCCCTTAGACTTTTTACCTTTAATTGCTGAAAATAAATTTATTCGCATATACATATATATATATATATACAAGGGGAGCTACCTACCATATAAACGGATGACAATGACACGTAATGATAATCTTTTGGTGCTTTGACCTACTTACAGTGGCAGCTTTCCTTAGCCTGAGAATCCAGGGTGGATTCTGAGACCTGAAGATGCTTCAGCATTTGTCCATATGATATGGGTAATTACTGTATAGTCTGAACATGAGCCCCGTTTTTTTTCCTCTTTTTTTCTTGAGTCAGAAGTCAGAACCACAGGTTCCATCAGTTTCCTAAATTGAATAGTTTGAAGATATAACTTATAACGTCAACAATGCATTTTTTAAGTGAACGCTTGTTCTGTAAGTTATAGTCAGGTGTTTCCAATGTGGTAAAACCTAAATACCAATCTGAACCTACAATCTAGGAATTGTTTATACAATTTGCATCGGGTTCGTTTCCGGCAAGATTGGGGGATGGTTTATGGCACTGGCTTTACCCTCCTGTAATCAAACATGGCTGGCTGGAAAATGCACCGTTGATAATTTATTTCCCAGCCATAAACATCCATTTAGTTTGTTTGTTTTTTTCAGTTGCCATGTTGGATGACACCGTTGTGGGTACCACATGATTCCCTGCGGCACAGCACGCAACTCCCCATGGCACCAGTTCAATCATGGCCATGGTTTCGAAGGCTTGCAAGACGGCAGAGAGAGCCCTGATCTCCTTCGAATCCGACAGGCCGCGCATGGTAAACGTTGTTGAATCTTTGAATGGTGACATACATTTTTTTTTAACTGCACTTATCGTATATAATATAAGTGTAAACAGAGATATGAATCAAATTCAGTCAACATAACTGGGCATAACTGGGGGCCTAGAATGCCATAGATTCATAAATTTCATGGGGTAGCGAAGCCAGGAATGACGCATTTCCACCCCAAAACCGACATTGGTTACATGGGGAGCCAGCACATCCCAGCCGAGGTTGGGCTGGAGCCCAAGGTTCTGGCAGTGGGCACTTTCAAGGCTGTTCAACGCGCCAAGCTGCTGCTCCTTGGTGTTTAATCACTGTTCCCCAGATATACGATCATACATTTAAGTAAGGAATTTAAGTGGCGACACATGGAATCTAAATGATATAATTATATAGTTGTTTTTGCCGGTGAACTTGTAGTACTGGTAGTACTTGTAGTACTTGTAGTACTTATAGTGAGTGGGGTCCAGCATGTTGATTGCGTTGCCTTTTGCACCTCAAGTAGTTCATGAAAGGTGTAACGAGGGAAAGAGGAAGAGTAAAATAAATAAAGATTAGGTTGCCTTGGAAAAGGCCTTTCTTTCTTCTCTTGGCTCTAGGAACACCTCAGGACAAGTTTGCTGTAATTCCGAATCTATGCAACAAACCTACTACTGTAAAGTGAGTTGAACCCTCTCATGGTCCAGTGCCTTGGAAATTTGTGGAACAGCTGTTCTTCAATCAGGTTTTAATACACTATTGATTTGGGAGTTATTTGAAAAAGGCATGCAAGCATTTGTTCCAGAAAACTCATTTCCACACTTTTTTTTTGAGAAAAAATGGTCCGCCAAAAACTCGTTCCTCTACTCTTAGCTAACTCATTCTTACGGGAAAGACGCATCTCAGAACAGCGAACGTTCTGAGGGGTCATGTTTGAATGAATCGACCCAGAAAATTTTGCACAAGATAGAGAAACTGCAGCATCATGGGGGAGTAGAGAAACTGCAGCAGAGAGTCTTTCGTCAATAGTAGTTACTTTTAGCACGCACTTACTTAGGCCAATTTCATCGGAGTGTTGTTTCAACACACTGATCAATCTTTGCGTTCCTTTGCATTGCAAAGGGGGTGTCTTCCAAGTTAAAGTTCCACCGGCAGGGGTTCCTGTCTTAGGGCATCATCAATGGGTATTCCAATCGGCCATATCGGCCGTGGTCCAATGGTTCTCATGAGAGGGCTCGTTCTTCTGATGGACTACTGCCTATAGTTTTTTCCCAGAAGTTTTTGATCAAAAAAAAGGCTCAGAAGGATCCCGGTGGGAAAAAAACAATTTTCCATTCTCAGCTGGCAATCGCTTTCAGTGACTAGCATCATTCTCAAAGAAAGAAAATGAACGGTTTTGACCAGATTTTTTCAGCTGAGTTGGTGCAGGGGACAGGAATGTGTACTTTGGTGTGCAACGTGCACGCATTGTGCTCAGCAGCACTGTGCTCTTTCACGAACACCGATCGTTCTCACAAACACCGCATCCATGGACTTGGGATTTGACTGATTTGGGTGCCTAAAGCGGTTCTCCAGATTAAGCATAATAAACTATTACATGTGTCTGTTTTTCCTTCAGGAATTTGGTTCATATTCAGCAAAGGATTGCCTGAAATTTGACTGGTTCAACTACAACCTCCATAGGTTGAGATTCCTTCGGAAACGGTTTGCATTTTGCACATTGCCTGTATGAAGGATGGTTTGTGTGATGTTTGTTCGGCATTCTATATGTTCATTCAAAAATATCCAAAGTTGAAGCAGCCATAACCAGCCCTTCGCAACTACTCAGGATACAGCATCCATAGTATATATATATACACATCATATGTTGATTTCTGTGTTTTTTGTCCCGTGCTTGGCAGTTGGTATGATTAATGTTAACCCCGGGCTCATAAACCCTGGTTGATCAATCAGGGGTATCCCCGGAGCAAACAACCTATATAGCGTTATTCATCCGTCCGACGTTGACATCACAAGTTAGAATGCCTTCCCAAGAAGCGGCCTTGCTGCCAAGTCAAGTCAAGTTCTTCGTATCCGATTGAATACAGCAACTAACCGCAGGAAATTTAACCATTTACATACATTTACACTATATTGTTTTTGTTAGGATTCTGCCTGACCTACATGTAGACACATCGCCGAGGATTCCATCGATGCTGCACCATCATAGAAAAGGCAAGGTTCTGGAGGACAGCCATGGACAGCGGCGAGCACTGGGCTGTTCATCATAAATGGGGGTCCTTCTGATACTAAATACTAAGATATATATATATATATATATATATTGAGTATAGACAAGTACGTTTCATAATTGTAGGGGCACACACATCAAAAATATACAAACATATCTTCAACATTCCTCAACCAGGCGAAATCTGAATCTGTGCTGCACGGCTTTAACGTTGAAACTGCCAGAGGACGCCTGCCAAAAGAGGGAAGATGCCTTGGCCCAGAGGACGACGGCCAAAATCCGTTGCGATTGTTGTGATCATTATTGATGCCATGTGGATCAGGCATGGACAAACGCATATATGTTCATATTTGTTGATATAAACTTATTTTCTTAATTTAATTTTATTGTACATGATTCCAAACACAACTGTGGATGATTCCTGCTGGATTCTACAACTTCAGGTTTCTGGGTTTCTATCATTGGTCTGTATGTTCCATGTCATTCCATATCCATTCTCGATGGTCTTAACTATGCAAAAACATATGCTAAAATGCCATCCATTACGATCGGTTTCTTGAACCTATATATAATTGATGATCCTTATATATAAACCACCCTCCTGTAAACATTTACAGTTCCGAGTGAAATTTGTTAAATTAATCACTATTGATCGGTCTTGACCATTATTAACCATTAACCAGTAATCACCAATGGTTCATATCATTCTACAAACCATTTCATCATGTTCAGATATTTTCACTTCAGGGGGAAACTTGATGGCTCCACATCCCTCTAGGAGCATGAAGAAGATTCGGGAAGGATGGGACCGCACCGAAGCCAACATGCCTCAGGGCGTGGCCACTTGGGATGACATGTAGTGATTTGTTGATGAACCATGGAGTTAATGATGGGGGATCATTGAATGATTCATGACATCTGATAGAATCACCAAACAAATCAAAAAAAACATGAAATATACTAAATTATTCATAAACTGGCCATGTTTGATAGGGAACATGATGATAGACCATGAAATTTAGTGATCAATTAGTACACGAATTTCATCAAAGCGGCACGAATGATATCACCATCAAGATCGAGGATTTCATTGCTATTATTATTGTTATTTAGTGGGTCATTCAGAATGGAGTTACAGTAGCCATTGGTGAAATAAAAAGCCTCCAGGCACCATCAGAGCCATTACAGCAACTGGGCCTTTCATTTCATTCATAACGGATGTCGATCTTAAAAATCAAGGTGCCATGGTGCCCACACAAACCCAGAAATGCTGATCACTCATCCCTATTTTCAAACAGCAACCAAAGAGGCGGAATCATCCAAGATTCTCTCGGAAGCAGTGGTCCTCACCCTCACAAACTCCCCATCAAGGCTTGGTTCTTTCATTAAATCCCTTGGTACATCCCATCCTTTGCCAGTAAGAATCCCTTATCATCCCATAGCACATATCATAATTTTATCATTTGTTTTTTTAGATTTTCTCAATTGCATAGCAACTACATGCACCTACAGTCTTGGCGCATTCCATTGGTCGTGGATAAAAATCAAAAAAAATGTTTGTTTGGAGCAGATCCAAGCTTTTAGATAGATAGTTAGATAGATAAACATGCATAAACATCTAGATCATCTAGGCAGATAGATGACATGTGACCATGTGCCATGATGTGCCGTCTTTCCCATATCAGGTGAAAGATGAGTTTTTCCTGGACGTGGCCCACGTTGGGCGATTTGTTGGCAAAGGTGGCAGCAACATCAGGTCCCCGCTCCGTTTTGGTGAGACACTTGATGATGATTCGAAGGGGATAAAAGATGATAAAAGAGATAGACTCCAATCTTGGCGGATACCAGTAGGGTTTAGAAGATTAGTCTCCACTCAGAAGTGCTTATTTTCAGGGTCCTTGTTAATTCAGCAGAGGGTAACCATAGGAATCCTGATGAGAATTTGATCGTAGTCATGAACCACTGGATTTTGGAGTATCTTTGGACCGACTATGTTTGATCCAGATGTGTTGTTTTTTTGTATTTTCTGAGTCTTCATCACGTCTCCTTTTGTTGGATGTGCAACGACTATCAACGCGCCAGTTCCAGGTCGTTGCAAAGCCAATTCAACGTCAGCATTTTCATCTTTGATGAAGATGACACCAGGAAACTTGCCACAGGATCATAGGATATTTCATAGGAACCGGTAGCGCAAAACAGCATGACACACATTCCGTATCTCCCAGTATGTCCCTACAAACGGATGGCTGACCCGTTTGTCTCTGGTTTTGGTGCAATCATCCATGTTGATTCCTCACATGCCCGAACTCATTTGTTCTGTAGAGCTGTGGCTATGGTTCATTGCAGATTGCCCGCACATGCCCCCACTATACTCGCAGATTTCGAAAAAAATGCATGGTGAAAAGATATGCCCGTTGATAGTTGATAGCTTTGTGTAATCTCACATGGCGTGCGCGAAAATCACCGACGTGTCCATGATTGTGTATAGAAAGTTCCAGCCCACCATTTTTAGATTCCGGGAGTAGGATTCCAGGTGTTCCTGCAGAACATGACATCAACGTTGGTGATGCAAAAAGATATGAATTATATCGGCCAAGGGGTGGTTGAATGGTGAAATACATTGACATACTTCATAGATCTTCATAGCATGATCGGTCGATTTCTTGGATTTGTTCCAGAGATTTAAAGCGTTTACTATGGGATTTCTGGTGATTCGATGGGGATTACTATGGGATTTCTGGTGATTCCCCAGCTGAGCCAGGAAGCGGGTGCTGGTTCTGGGGCCCAACCAGGAGGCCGTCTCTGGGCTTCGCAGGGCCTCGGAGATCAAGAGCCGCGTGCTGCAAACGGACAAAGAGACCAGGAGAACTGGGGGATTTTCCCTTGGGGATTTGGGTCCACCAAGCAGAAAATCCATTGGTCCCTTGGTAGTTAATTGAATGTTAGTTGAATGTTAATTGATGTTACTTCATTTTAGAGTCTTAGGGTGAATGATGGGAGACAGTTCGAATGGTCAAGCTTTTTGGATGGTTTGCTTGGATGGTTAATTTGACATAATTTGACGTAAAGCAGTAGCTATATCCCAGGATACTGCTCCAGTTTTTGACAGTGCCAGGATATATTCAAGGGAAAGGTGGCTTTCCAGTTTCCCAGCGGAACACCTCTTGCAGGTGGTTCTTCATGCCACCTTCCGCCCGGTTGGCGATGTTCCAAACTGAATCCGATTTCAGAAAAACTTGGTTGGATTGTAATGTAGTATTCTTCCCTATGGATCCAGTCGTACCTTCCTAGGAAGTGTTTGGGGTATGATTTAGGGGGTGTCTTGTACCTTCAACAGTGGATCCAATTCGGGCCTTGAATCTCTCCCCCATGATTTCACTGATGCCGAACTGTCGAAGCTTTCCGACGGCTGTCGGCGCATTGCCGACCAGGACAATGAATTTGATGATTTTAAAAGGATGGTAACGATATACGTAAAGATATGCTTTGCTATGCTTTGCTATGATATGATTCAATGATGGCTATAAGTCAATAAGTCCTTGGGAAAGCCATCGGCTATCATACATCTTTAGATGATATGAATATAATTACTGATCATCCAAAAATGATTCCCTGGAACCCTGGAAGAAGGGAAGCTTGCAGGAAACACCTCCAATTGATGGCCAACAACCAGGGTCTTCTATGATTCCTTGATGTGATCGGTTGTCGATTCCAGTCAGACGGGCTGTGGGACCTACTTGCTGACCACCCTTTATGAGAGAACTTGGACATGGCATTTAAAAATGATAAATATTGGAATTTGGACTATTTATTTGAATGTTTTACTAATGTTTTATGATGTTTTAATTAATGGGGGGTAGCCCAATATGGATGCTTTATAATTAATCGGTCGTTTATTAGTTTATAACTGATAGTCCTTTTAAAATGGATGATTGGAGGGGTACCCCCATGACTTTGGAAACCTCCATTTGATTCCATTTGATGCCATTTTTACCTGGCAGGAAGTGGTTGTTGTGGAGGTCCAAAGTGGTGGAACTTCGGCACTATCTGGACTTTCTACAGCCCCAGGGTCCTGGAGCAAGTTTTGTTTCGGGACACCCTTTCTCCACTGAAAAACAACTGAGCCAATCCCCCTTCTTTGAGCCGGAGCCACCATCCTCATCTCAGAAAACCATTCAAGTCAATAGATGTAATTATAGATGTTAGCAGATGTCAATTGTTGGCTTTCCGCAATTGTCTCTACTTGATCCACTTTGGTTGCAGTCATGATGCTTCTTTCAGGACACCAGCAAGGTGTTCCCACAAATGTGTGTCCGTTGGTCTTCAGAATGGTTGGCGGGACACCCTTAAATGTGGGAGTAAGAAGAAATATGGTCTCCGATCTAGATTTTACAGCATGAACTCATTGATCCGTAGCCTATGTCGAATGACCATAGCCTTTCATAGCCACATGTAGCATGGTCTAAACTGGGGTTTCTCGACAATGGCTTCAGAATGCATCCCCTCCCAGGGGTACCACGCCTTTGGGATGCCGAACGGGATGCCGAACGGGTGCCGAGGACACCATCAAGAAGATGTGTAGCCTCATCAATATCCAGGTGGAGGAGCATGAGGTCATCATCACTGGGACCCCTGAGGCCTGTGAGAACGGCCTGAAGTTTCTACAGGCGCAGATCCAGCAGCTGGACCAACGAAAGCGTGGAAACACCGGGAAATTTTTGGTGGTTGAAATTGGGAGGTACAGGATGAGTTTCACCTGGATTGGGATTTTCATGCCACAGAATTTTGGGTATACCTATAGGTTGACTTGGAGTTTCCCATGTGTTCTTTTGTTCCAAGTTTTTTTCCCGGTTGTTCGATCATGTTCGATCAAATTTTGGCCGCTAAATCCAAGTTCTTCGAAGACGACCAGCCATTGACTTCTGGTTCAGTTGGTTGATGATAATTGCAATAGTTGGTTTCTTTAACATCGGTCCTGGGATTATTTAATTATCAATTGATATCAATTGCATTAAATTATCAGTTGGCTTCCAATATGCATGGGAAAAGGCAAACAAAAACACACAAATGGTTTCCGAAGCTCTTTTTCACAACACACGTTCCTCAAGATATTTCTGACGTTGACACCCCTGTCCGGGGTACCTAAATAGAATGGGGGGGCTGAAGCCCCTTCTAAAATAAAAAACATAAAAATAAAATGAAAATAAAATGGGTCAGACCCCTGCATTTTATTTTGTGGGTGCATTTTATTTCTTGAGGTGCCTAACCCATCAAGTTAACTGACAGAGATAGCATCATAGCAAAGATGCACAGCTTTGAACGGCCTGATCATTTTGTGAAACGTTCCAGCGGATTCACGAACGCTAATAAAATGATAACGAAAACTATAACTTTTGGCATCAAAAATGGTTCGTGTGAGACACTGTTTTTTTTTTCCCCCTTTCCTCTCCCTTCCCTTTCCTTTTTCCTGTCTCTTCCCTTTCCTTTTTCCCCTTTTCCTTTTGTGAAACATTCCAGAGATTTGGAATTACTTGGACATTAACTTCGAAAATGGGTTGGCCCCCCTCATTTTCTATTGCCTTCCTTGGTCAACAAAAGACACACGGGCAGCTTACAGCAGCCAATGAGATTTCTTAAGTTTATTTATATTTATTTGTATCTTTTCTAGAAACCATCCAGATGTCAGAAGTGGAACCAATTATATATATATATATATATATTGATCGAAATCCGCGCAATTTTTCCTTCCTGTTGGCACGTGAAAAGGCTAAACAAGACTAAACAAGACTAAACATGGTTTAAGTTAAAACCAATCAAAGAAGGAAACAAGACAAAACAAGATCAACCCAAAAGAAAATGCCGGAGCCCGAGGTCCAACAGTTGCATAATGTAGGTCCACCAGTGGCCAGGTGGAGGGTGCCGACGTCATTTTCTTTTTGTACCTGTCCATTGTATTTTGCTTGGGTTTTCCTATCTTACCTTATGCCCTCTCATTTTATTGGCATTTTGTCCTTAGGCCCCTGCATTTTATTTTATTTTTTTAGGTGCCTCACCCCCCCCCTGGCAACAGACGAGGGTCGTTGACTGGATTTGTCAATGTTTGGTGTAGCGGGGTGTTATTGCCATGGAGGTGGGATGATAAGATGTGTTCACCTTCAGACTTAGCTATACCTTCGGGATGATGTAGGAGAGGGAAATACCCTCTGGTAAACATACAAAAAGCTATGGAAAATCACAATCTTTAATATATAGGTAAATCAACTATAAACGGGCCATTTTCAATAGCAAACTGTTAAATTACCAGAGGGTACAAGACACATAGTAGAATTGGCTATGGTTTAACATCGGGTTACGGGTTTGCCACACATAAGTTTGTTGCCCATGCCAAGTCACGTACTGGCAGGAACACCTGAACTATCCAGTAGAATTGCCTAACTACGCCCTCAAAGATGAAGAACCTGAAGGAAGTCGATGATTTCTTCCAATCCGCATATTTTGATGTTTGCTGCTGCTAGATGTTCCCTGAAACCACTTCTTTGGGACCAATGCTTGGCCCAAGGTTGTAGCGTCCGGAATCATAAAAATATGATGGGATATGTTTGAAACGGCCTCATAAGAACGAAGGACCTTTAAGGAATACCAGGTGATTATTTCGAGACATGGGATTTAATGGAATGCATTTCGCCCACATCGCTGCATTTCCACTTGCAAGCTGCATTCTCACCGCAGTGTTGCATGTTTTTTTGTGAACTTGAAGCAGCGTCGCAGCGAAAAACGCCGAGGTACTTCCACACGCTCCAAAAGTTGGAGACGACCAAAGTTGAACTCATGAAACAGCTGGGTGAGGGGCCAGAAGTGGTGTGGCCCCTGCAGCTGCTTGGCACTGTTGGTTTAGTAAGGGCCTTGCAGATTGATTGAAAACTGGGATGCCCTTTATTGGCACAATCAGAAACTTTCCAGGGGTGACTTCAAGAGATGAGCTCAGTGGGTCGCATTTTCCAGGTGACAACATCATTCCTGGTTGGTGGTTTGGAACATTTTGTTTTCTCCATAGATTGGGATTTTCATCATCCCAACTGACGAACTTTATTTTTCAGAGGGGTAGGTCAACCACCAACCAGATATCATTGGTGATTTATATGTTATTCACTGATGTGGTATAGCCATGTATAACCTCAATGGATAACCTATGGTAACCTATAATGGATAACCTAGTTGGGAGAATTATGACATATTATTAATGGTTATTATTAATGGATAGTTATTTACTCTCCAGTAAATTTACGCTATTAAATTGCGGTACCCTCTGGTAATTTAACATAGCTAGTGAAAATAGCCATTTATAGTGGATTTATCCATTTATCCATTAAAAATGGTGATTTTCCATAGTTACGTTAGTTTACCAGAGGGTAACCAACCAGATTCTCAATTTGCGGTTTTCAAGTGGAGAGTCTCCCAGTACTCCCAGGGATGCGCCATGGCCGGCTCAGGTTCGAACGGACGGAACGTCGGCCCTCCCGAGCCACGACACCAAGAGCCAGGAGACTTTGCCCGGCCTCGACATAACGTGATGGGTTGGGAAATCACCTCCAAACAAAAAAGTGTTTTTTTTTTCCCCCTCACCGGACATCAGTATTTTATATATTATAGAAATAGAAATATGTATATATATATAAATTATTATTGATGATTTGCCAGCAATGATGAGGTTCCATGAAGTTCCAGCATTTTTTTGTTCTGAGTGGCCAGCCTCGACCTGCCCCCGGCAGGACACATGTCTGGTTGTGACTGCCGTGATTGCGGCCAGAAAGCGCAACGTGCGGAAATGGCCCTGTGCGAAAAGCGGGGTTGGAAAAAAAGTATGTATAGTTGCTCAGTTGCTCATTGGTTTTGATCGGGATGGATTGTTTCATGAACTTGTAACTTGACTACTCCAAGCGTTATAGGTGCCATTTCCAAGATTGATGTTGCATCCTGGTTTCATGGGCCATCGTACTAGCAAACTGGCTAAATACGTCTAATATATACTGTAGTAGTATGTCTATATTGGCCCCACCCTAGCCAAAGGCACTACAATAAGATGCTTTCCATTGGATGAGCTGAGAAACACATGCTATTCTTTGATCTCCCTGAGGGTTCCAGCTCCATCAAACCAGCATGTTCCTCGTAACACACTGAACCACACTGTCCTTGCACGTAGGATCTACGTTCCCAACCTAGGGCTTCAATCTGCTGACACTTGTGTACCTTAGCCGCCATGATTGCGGCCGGATGGGAGGGACCAGACGTTTGGGATCTGGGATCCGTTCACCAGTGGAATGACCGGTTTTGGATCTGCGAAGTCGAAACCATATGGTGACTGATCCTCCGTTTCATGACACCTCCATATATGATGTGGCATGGGTGCATAATGCATATGACCTCATTTTTGCCACCACGTGCCTTCCTGGAAAGGTATACTTGTCACCCAACTTGGAGGGTCAGAATCTCAGATTGGGCTGGGAAACTGCAGAAACCCATGACTGGGTTTCTCAAGGAAAATGGATCTGCAATGGTTGGGGCAGCTCCATATCTGTGTTCATAGCGCAGTTCATGATAGTTCATGTACGAATGATTGTCTAACACTACCTCTATTAGTGCCTGTGGCCTGTTCGCACTGCAGAAGGTGAACATGTTGACTATGTGATGTCCCAGATGGTTCACACCGCCCCTGCAGTCGAGGCAAATGTCTTACCATCTAATCCATTACCTGAGGATTTCAATTCCTGTTGATTCTTCTCCTATAATCTCCTACATATATATACAGTATATATTATATTACTACATGATAAGTTTTTATAAGCATATGCTATATATGCTACATGAACGAGATTCCTGTTTATAACTTGGTTTAATCATTTTCAAGGCACCACCATTGCGCTCTTCATTTTCCAGTTTTTGCTGCATTGGATACGCTAAATCCAACTGTTTCCTATTTACATATTATCGTATTGCTTGTTTGTGTAAGAACTTGCTGCCGAAATCAATCTCAGTCCATAGTAGCAATCATATTTATAATCCCGTTTCCCTTTTAAAGCAAAATCCTATGTATGAGTCACTGGTTTTAGTCTAGATGCTTGTTCATTTGGTGTCCGCAACGCAAGGGTTGTGATTTTTTATTGGGGTGTTGCATGGTTGAGCCAATAGTTAGTTCGATCAGATAGCGAGGTATTACGCGTTGCCTTGCGATGGGATCTGGCTCTTCTCCGGTAGATATTGTTCTGCTTGGCGAACTGGGTCCAAGACAAGATCTGCCATTCATCCAGAACACTTTTCTCAGTGATCATAGATTATTTTTACTGTGAAACCAGCATCCCGGCACCAAGCGCAAGAAAACATGAATGAAAGATGCAACCTGTTGCAGCCCAACTTGCTCTTTACAGAAGGCAAAACGCACATACCATGGGCCCAAAATTGGGGCCACAAATTTGGAAGCTGGGCTACTAATTTTACGTTTTTTTAGTATTGTGGCCCCATTTTTGGGTCCAGAATCTGGCCCTTGTTTTGGGGCCACAAAACACAAACAGGAGCTATTCAATACGGGCAGCAAGTGTGCTACTGCCGCCGCAAGCTGACAGCAGCACATATCCGTGATACTATATATATATATGGCACTTGTTGCAGTAAGTGATTCTTGTCACTTGTCCATCTTGCTTTCCCCAAACCAGCGGTTGTTGAACATATTTGGCAAGCAAGGGAGAATCCGTGAACCAGTTTGCCTATACATTTTTTTCAGAAATCACTTGCCATTTGTTATTTGCAATGTTTTACTGTATAATCTGATTCACACACACAAATTAATTACACATTTCATATACCTATACTATAATAGACATGAATGTTTAAACAGGTAAATATACAATACTGTATGTAGATACTGTATACACTTAGGTGAACATATAAATGAAATATATCACCATAGTGATTCATCATGAAAGGTGCAGTATTGATGCCAATGGGATAATTATTTCTACCAAAAAGTGATCCAAAATCTCGGGCCTTCCTGTCCAAAAATGCGAATTTTCTGCAGGTTATGGCGAGCTGTTGGGGAAGAGCGACCTGCAGCCCTGGCAACTTGGCTGCAGATGTTGGCCGAGAGGAAACGCGATTTACAACAGAAATCGATCATATGGGGAGTTGTATAACCATTTTATCATATATAATTGGGATAGTTCATTGAAACGACACACCCCTGATGAAGGGGATATACAGGATACACATATTGAGGCTACAAAGCCGTAGCTATATATGTCAATGCATACGCTGAAGTTAGTGGATCAGTTTGCTCAAAAAAACCCTTAATGACCGGAACACCAGATTCGTTGAAAGATACCAAAGGTCAATTTATCCCCTAACTAACATGGACTGCGCCAGAAATGGGGCTGGAAGACTTCTCGCCTCAAAAAAGTTGCCAATTCTCAGAGTCAAACTCTTATAATTATATTTTTTGATTTTTATATCCTATATGTGTCCTTCGTGTTTCTCATATTTTCCCTTCGAATGATTCCCAAATTTCTCCATATTTGTCCCATATTTTCCCCACAATTTTTTCACATATTTCAGTATATGTTCCCTCATGTTTCCCCCACATGTTGTCCCATCTCTTCCCAGGAAATTCCACCCTTCGCCAAGGTATCCCAAGCTCCGGGACTTTTTCGTGGATCGCCTGGGTGTTAGCACCACCTTGCCACTCCGCTACGAGTTGGTTTCCGCGGTGGCATCAAACGTGGCTGGGAAATCCCGCTATAAATATGTAAATCATGGGAAAATCCAGGGAAAATCATAGGCAAATATGGGAAAACCATGGAAAACCCGCTATAAATGGAGGTTTTATTGGATCTATACCATATATACTCTACGTTAAATAAGCGGGTATGATGATATTGATTTTCAACCATGGATCATGAATTCTTATAATTATACTACTGTTACTATTACTATTACTACCTCTTCCCTCCTTCATCTTAAACACTCCCCACGAACCATGGCGGATTTAGTGAGATCTCATCGCCTTTGGGTGGTGGAATGGTACGCCCCCAAAACTTATCGTTTGTTTATTGATTCCAATTCTATATGCAGCATATATGGAGAAAATATGGGGATATTGCTTGAAATTTCTAATCTCTTTGAATTGAACTCTTTGACTAACATACGTTTGCTCCATTCCAGATACTGTAGGCATATCCAAAAAGATGCATTCCAGTGACCGTTCCCAGCACACCACTTGCAATTATTGGGGTATAAGTCTCAGTGACTTCGAGTGCCGCCGTTCGTGGTCGCAGGGCGGGCCTGGTTATAGTAATTTGTATTGTTGTGCTTGGCCATGGCCCTATGCTTGTGAAATTTTCTCATGTGTATATGGTCCGGATAGAGTACAACGACCTCACTGCGACGATTTTTTTTTGGGGTAATTCACTATCTGCTTAAATATTCCCAAATGCTTTTATGTCCGGTGATTTTGTTAAAGCTATTTAAGGGAATGTTTGGTATACAGATTTCTGGGCTCGTTGGTCGCCGTTGCCAGGTCTGTGGCGGGTTGTGTTGAGGCACTGCGCAGCCTCCGAGGCCCGCAGTTTTGTGGGATCTGTGGGGTACCCTCCAATAAACTACCTTCTGGTAATTTAACATAGCTATTGAAAATGGCCATTTAGTTCGTTGATTTACCCACTAAAAATAGTGATTTTCAACAGCTATGTTAGTTTACCAGAGGGTAAGAGTTCACTATGGCAATCCCAATTTTCAATCGGTGAATCATCTATAAATGAACCATGTATACCATGTTCATCCATTGTTTTATAGCTATGTTAGTTTACCGGAATGTATGAACATAGGGTTTTAAGACATCTAAAGCATTAGTTTCATGGTGCTTCAAGCATCAAAATCATGGAGATATGCATTGATCATGGTTGGTTAGATATTTAGGGTCTGGGCTATGACCAGTGGCTAGTCTCCCTAGACCGGCAGTTGAGTTCACAATTTTAAGAAGATATTGGATTATGGATGGTTGTTGCCTGTTGAGTTTCCTGACATTTAGAGTCCCAAACCAGGTGGCTTTTGGAACCGTTGGATGATGAAATATGATGCGTGTGCAAACTTGAGCAAAATCACTGCGAAAATTGATATACCACGTTTGGGCTGAATGAACTTGGATCTTAAAGATGCACAGGAGTACCCAAGCAAAATAAGTAGAAACGCAATTGGCCGTGATGGTATTCACACTATCGTTAAAATGGTGATGTTCAAATACAACTATTACTTTTCAGTAGCCTGCTGTTTGGTAAACCGACATAGACATGGACAAACAGCGTTTTGAGCAAGTAAACTACCTATAAATGGGCGATTTCATTAGCTATGTTAGTTCCAGAGGTAACCAATCTATTGGGTGAGGTCCACGCCAAGGCCGTTCATCAGAGAAGCTGCTGAAACTGGCAGCAGGTGTGGTCAGCGGTAGGTGGGCCCCGGTGATTTGTTACAGTTATGGCTATGGAAATCTGGTGGAAAATGGATGAACATGGCACATTTCGACCCATTTCCTGCGAAATGATAGCACTTATATATAACACTATATTAGATTAAAATGATGACGTTCCATGGTTATAACATGTTATAACAAATTACTAGGAAGTAAGATTCATCCCCAAAAACGCTGGTCACCTCTCCAACGATTGATGGTTAATAAGCCATTATAATATATTATAATAATCGTGATTCTTGGTGGTTTTAAGAAACCCCCACGCCATTGGGGGTGCCCTTCCGGATGCGTATGTTTGACCCTTTCGTTGACAGATCCGCTGGTTGATGTTCATCATGTCTCAGATGGGATTTCAAATATGTGGAGCCTTGCTTCTTGAAGTCATCACCTTGAGAGGTGTCCCATCTCCCATCCTTAAATTTGACGTTTCTTTGCACTGTTTCTTTCCCACATCTTCCCACCAAACAGCAGGGCAATGACTCCCCAGGTCTGTTGCTGCAAGTGCAGGAGGTCTTCAGTGCAGAGGCCAACGAGGCAGCGCAACAGCTGTGACAAGAGTCTAGAAAAGTTCCCCCAAAAGAAACGGGTTGTATTATCCCCCGCCCCCCGAAAAGGCGAAAAGGATCGAAAAGGAACTCTGCAGGCTCTATAATATGATTCAAGCTTTCTTGGACAAGCAGCAGGCACCGCTCCCTCATCATTCCAGTCAGAGGTAACGAAACAAAACCCAACTAGAATATGTCCCTGGGATTGCCGATCCTCAACGGCCAGCACTCGATGAATTTCACAATCAAAGAAAATAGATGGAACATGATAGAACCAGATGGAGATCGAGACGGAGAGAGCTTGGACAAACCATGACTAGCTTGTTTGTTGCCAGGGCAGTGAAAATACCTGGAAATCGAAGCTGGCTTGGCCATGTGTCACCTGATTTCGAGGTTGAGATCGCCGCTTTGCGACAGGACAGCAGAGTCAGTGTCCATGTCCGAGGCTCGCATTTTTGCAGTTGCCCACCATGATGAGCCCAGATAGGGGGGTAGATAGTGAGAGCATCACTTTTTCCCTCTTCCTAATCCCTTTTCCCCTTCTCCTTCATATTCAAATTATCAAATAATTCCCCCCAATAGAAACCCGGGTTTAGTACAAAATTTACACACCTTTGGGACCATTTATGGGGTCTTTGATTAGGGGGATGGGATTAACATCAGAAACTGCCCCCAGTGATGCGGTTCCCCAGCACAGGAGGAACTCTTAGCAGTGCCTGGTAGCGATGGCCTGCGCCGGGGAGCTTGGCTTCCGGAGTCACGCCATGTTTGGTTCTTCTTTGAAGCAACAAGCATGGGTATGTTTTGCCAATGAAACTGTGGTATCATCGGATATAGACATAATATATACATATATATATACATATATACATAATTATTTATATACGAATATAACATATGTATTGATGTATGCTCAATAAGATCAAGAAGACTGGTTAGTGCGTTAGTGGTTGCAGTTTGTTTTTTGAACCACCCCCAAAGGGCAAGATTTTCAAGCGATGAGGCTTGCCCAAATGGACATCCAAAATCATCCAAATCATGAGAAGTCACAGGCATTTGGCATGGCCCAAAACTGCCTTTCTGGTGTCTGTTTTCAAGATGATTTACAGAATCTATGAATGTTACATCCTTCACTGGCCGAAAACACGAACTAGTTAATCCTTTTCCAAACCAGCTTGGCAAGGAAAGACCTACAGAAACCCAAAGATCTCGTGACTTGGTTTGACTCTGCCGTTTGTGTCTTAAGATGCTGAGCTTTTGTTAGACACCGCTTCAGCCGTGCAGCGCCTTCGATTCGGACGTGGTGCTGCATGGCGACACATGGCGCCATGCCGGCAGTGATTGGCAGGGCCGATGACTCTGCGCTGAAATTGGCCGAGCTGAGTGTCGAAGGAATGACCTGTGCAGCCTGCAGTGGGGCTGTGGAAAGGGCACTGAAGCAGATGAATGGTGTGGAACAGGCAGATTTTTTTTTGGAGGGGGCCATTGGTTGACTCTATCTGGAGGGTACCGTAATTAATTTACCGTAGCCTTAGACTGACCATTTTTTCATTGAGCCAGGTGATATCTATACATACATTGATCATGAAACTCCATTTAGAGCGCATTGGTTTTGTTCCTTCCCACTCAAAGAGATCAGTGACTAGACGTTGCTTCGTGCTCCTGGTGTAAAAAATGGGACTTGCGTCATCTTGAAAGTGAAAGATCTTGAAAGCGAAAATGTGGTAGGTATGGCGGGTGGAAATCCATGGTTTGGAGCCCCTCCAATTGCGGGACACCACCCCTGAAAACCAAAAGGTGGAGGTGAACTTGCTGCGCGCCCGTGCGCAAGTGCACTTCCTGGAGGGGACAGCTACGGCTGAGCAACTGGTAGATGAGATTGAACTGATCGGTTTTGATGCCAGAACCTCGGCTTTTTATATGGGCCCGTGGTTCCTTTGATGACTGACTAAAAATGAAGAAATGAAGCCACCATATGTCGTCATGACACCAGGCAACAATGGCAGAGCTGTAGGATGCAACATTGGCACCCAACTGGAGCCTTTCAGACGACGTACCACTGAGGTCCTCATATGAACTTATTTGGCTGAAACCTATGGTTTCCGGGTCGGATTTTCCCTGAACCCAAGTACATACACTCCTGTGCCTGAGGTATTTTGAGCGTGACATCCGCCACTTTGGGCACTGGAACAGCCCCAAATCGCCGAGTAGAGCTCTCTGTGCAGGGCATGACGTGTGCTGCTTGCAGCGGTGCGGTTGAAAGGGCCCTGCGCAACGCGCACAGTGGCATTCTGGACGTTCAGGTGAGGTTGTGCACAAGTCAAAAGTGAGGGATGATGTTTCATTGGATTGGTTTCAGGGAAAAATTGCCGGAAAGCCCAAATATTTGATGGTAAAAGCCATGATTTCCTATAGATGTTCCCTTCAACCAATCCAATGAATGTTTGAGGTTGACAGTCTGAGTTTGGAAGAAGCTTGTGAATTATTTATCTATTATCTCATGCTTGACTTCAGTGAAGCCATGTGGAGCTGTCAACGTCGTTGACCCAGAAGCAGAGGGGATTGCCTGATTTACATGATTTTACATCCATTATCATATTTATCATATCTATCTTATATATTCTTATATCATATCTGTTTTTTACGGTGTTTTTTAAAGCTTTAACGGCGTTTCCTCAGGGAAGCGGCCTGAGGTGAACCTGCTGCGTAGCAAGGCGGTGATTCGATGCACTGCAGAGGCCCCGTCTGCTGAAGCCATGGCCGGAGAAGTGGAAGATTGCGGCTTCGAGGCCAAGGTAATCTCGGAATCCTGTCCCAGTCCTTGGATATTTGATATCATTAATAATAGATAGATATAATAGATATGATAGATATAATAGATATGATAGATATAATAGATATGATATATGTAATAGATATAATAGACATGATAGATATAATGGATATGATAGATATAATAGATATTATAGATATAATGTATATGATAGATATAATAGACATGATCGATATAATGGATATGATAGATATAATAGATATAATAGATATGATAGATACAATAGATATGATATATGTAATAGATATAATAGACATGATAGATATAATGGATATTATAGATATAATAGATATTATAGATATAATGTATATGATAGATATAATAGACATGATCGATATAATGGATATGATAGATATAATAGATATGATAGATATGATAGATATAATAGATATGATAAATATAATAGATATGATAGATGTAAAAAATATATATATATATATATATATATGATAGATATAATAGACATGATCGATATAATGGATATGATAGATATAATAGATATGATAGATATGATAGATATAATAGATATGATAAATATAATAGATATGATAGATGTAATATATATATATGATAGATGTAATAGATATGACAGATGTAATAGATATGATAGATATAATAGATATGATCGATATAATAGATATGATAGATATAATAGATATGATAGATATAATAGACATGATAGATATAATAGATATGATAGGTACACTAGATATGATAGATTTAATAGACATGATAGATATAATCGATATGATAAATATAATAGATATGATAGATTTAATAGATATGACTGATATAATAGATATTATATATATCATAGTTATGATAGATATAATAGATATGATAGATATAATAAATATGATATATATAATAGATATGACATATATAATAGATATGATATATATATAATAGATATGATACATATAATCGGTATGATAGATGTAATTGGTAGCATAGATAGATAATAGATAGATAGATTAGATATATATATATATATATAGATAGATAGATAGATACCTTCTATATCCTAATGTCTACCATTTCACTTGTTATTTCACCAGCAACATCCCCAATCGACTTGATGGGTATTTGAATCTTTTAATTTCTTGCTTTAAGCGGAGAAGAACCATCAGCAGGAAAGGTTAACCATGTATAGATTCCCGATTTACTGGTTTGCTGCGATATTTTCCTGAAGCCAACCTTTGGTTCACCAACGCACTGCCCCCATGTGTGGCAACCACCATGGGCCTGTCCTTAAGGGATCTGAACGCCCAGGAAAATGATGAGGCGACCCCTGTAGGGCAACGACTGCAACCGGAGACCGCGAAGCTGCACGTGCAGGCAAATGATCCTCAGGAGGCCCAAGTGGCACTGGAAAAGCTCGAAAAGATGCCGGGCATCCTCAATGTGGCTGGGATCATGTGCGGGATGGGTCAAAGTTCTCCATGGGAGCATATGAATGGGTGAACAACATGGAGAATTACAGGCGAATTCAGCGTAATTGGATTTTGGCCCATTTTTCAACTTCTTGTCAAAATTGTAATCTTTTTGGCCACGAGGTGGATAAGAGTCCACCATTTGACACCAAAAAATTCTGAGTGATCGGATCATTTTCAGCAGGAAGGTAATCCCATGTTGTACCCGAGGGTTGCCCCTAGAAGTTGCCACCCAGGTAGTGATTTTTCAGCATCTTGGCTGCACAGGGGGATCCGTGGGTATCATTTTTTGGCCAGGTATTCCAGACCCCTGTTCTTCCCTTGGATGGCCCCATATGATGCCCCATATGCATAAGGATCATAAAGGGAGTTTGCCTCATCTTGCCCCGAGTCAAGAGTTTGCTTATGAATATGTGTGATGACATTGCACTTGTGCTTAGTGTTTTGTTTGGCAAACAAACAGTTTACAAAGCGTTGATTTTCATTGACTTACCAAGTTCCAAGCCACGCTGTCCGATGAGTTTGCGGGCCAGACCATTAGCCAGCATATGTAGTATAATCTATCCATCAATAGACATGTGGTATACATATTATGTATATCTCAGATACTGTTGGCATATGTGTTATTTATGTTCAATTCAGACATTTTTCATATATTTTTCATTGAACTTTCAGATACCAATCACCTCTTGTTTTTTCAAAGGCATCGATGTTCAGGAGCTGCTGCCTTCGCATCAGCTACCGCCCAGATGAGTTGAAGCCCGGGGAGATCCTCCGGTCCTCACCGGAGCTGGAACACTTGGCTCTGCTGCCGTTGGAGTCGGCGTCTGTGCCCCGCACTGGAGCTGGGGAAATACGCCTTTTAGGTCAGGAAATATGGCTATGGATCAATACCTATAGATACCATTTTTAGTGGGATGAACATCCATTTACCAGCTATTTTGGGGTTCACTAGGTACCAGGGTTTTGACCCATCCCCATATGGGGCTTTGGTGGGTTTGTTTTTTGAGGATTTTGGGGGGAATTCTGGGAAGTACGACCCATGAATGGTGGACAAGAGGAGAATTGGTTGTTATTTGGGGTGTCAGTTGGGGAGAATCATCGTTTATATATAGTATAGTAAGCATAATTGGGTTTCAACCCTAACATAAGCCTTCAATGGCCTTCATAATTGCCCAACAGAACTGGGATGGTATGTGACCGGTATGTGACCAACAGAAATGTGTGCTGAAACAAAAACAAAAGGCTCTTAACCAGCGCAAAGCATGCCCACTTTTGTCCAGAAGGGTGCCACTTTTCTGAGGCAAACCCGGATGGCAATTTGGAAACCGGTCAAAAAGCTATATACTACACATTTAGTAGAATATCTATACACACTGAATGGGCCTTGGTATTTCAACGCATCACGTGCCTTACGTATGCTGTCCCATACCACGATTAGATTGAGATAGACTCATAACACCTTACAATAAGAGGTCATCATATGTTGCAATTTTACATAACACTGTTTTCTGGGATCAACATCCAGCTAGACAACAACCGGTTTGATGCGACACAAGGTGCTGATGGGGTGTTGATCCGCGGGCACAACAAGATACTAGTGCAGGAAGGGAAATAGACTAAGGAAGCAACATGTGAAGTATGTATTATGTGAAAATATATATATATATTTAAAATATATTATATTGATTAACTGTTTTGAACCCTATTGATTGTGACTTTTTTGGGTCACCTGACGCTGTGTGCTGTAGGAAGACGCCAGAATCTCAACATGTTACCCCCACAGCTGGCCGAGGCAACCGAGAGCCTGAAGAGAGATCTGGGATGTGCACTACCACCGACTCTTTTGATAATTGCGCTGGTCTTCATTTTGCCCCTCACAGGTTCCAGGCCACTGGGAAATCTACATGTGAAGAATGCAGTAATTGCTGATCGAAGGAAGTTTAGAAGTCAAACTTCCGACAATATGGACAGATGGAAAAGCAGAGGTGGGAAGAGTCAGAGAAGAGAAGAGAAGAAGAGAGAAGATCAGAGAAGAGAAAGAGTTAGAAGAAAGAAGATCCAGGCGCGAGAAAAGGTAGGAGAGTCGCGAAACACTGTGTTTTTCCAATGATTTGTGGCTCTGGAGGGTCGAAAAGTAGGCTCGCTAAAGCGGCGGGTGCGGAGCCAGCTGGCCAGATGAGAGATGAAAAATTGCATGCCGTTGTGGCGCGAAACACATTTCGACGTCAAAATGTCCAAAACACTCAGCTTCGGAGCACCAAAACACTTCAGCCTCGGAGCACTTTTGGACGTTGAGATGTTCAAAAAGTGTACTTCGTTATGGCGCGAAGCACACTTCGAAGTCAAAATGTACAAAACACCTCAGCTTCGGAGCACTTTTGGAAGTTGAGATGTTCAAAAAGTGTACGCCTTTGTGGCGCGAAGCACATCTCGAAGTCAAAATGTACAAAGCACCACATGTTAGCGCCACTTGTGGAAGTTGAGATGTTCAAAAAGTGCACGCCGTTGTGGCGCGAAGCACATTTCGAAGCCAAAAGTGTTAAAAACTGACGGTCTCGGGCCACTTTTGACGTTCAGATGTCGTTTCGCATGGCAGGCACAAGGGCTTGTGCACCTTGCCAAAAGTGAGCAAAACGTGAGGGGTTTGTAGCAGTTTCATCTACAACCACCACTACACTACACTCCACTCCACTCCACCTCCACCTCCACCTCCACCTCCACCCTCCACCCACACTCCACACTCCACACTCCACACTCCACACTCCACACACAACACTCCACACTCCACACTCCACACTCCACACTCCACACTCCACACTCCACACTCCACACTCCACACTCCACACTCCCCACTCCCCACTCCCCACTCCCCACTCCCCACTCCCCGCTCCCCGCTCCCCACTCCGCACTCCGCACTCCGCACTCCGCACTCCCCACTCCCCACTCCACTCCACTCCACTCCACTCCACTCCACTCCACACTCCACCACACCACAACTACACAAAAACAACCACAACCACATTACACCACACTAGTTGCACTAATTACATTACACTACACTACACTCCACTACGCTCCACTACACTACACTACATTCAAATACACTACACTACGCTACACTACACTACACTGATTACAACTACAGATGCAACTCAACTACAACTACAACTACACTAGATTACACTACACCCAATTGCACTACACTACGCTACACTCAAACGCGCCGGCGCGCCCCCGGCCCGTTCATGGAACCGGCGATCCTCACCCTCCAGGGGGTCGAGGTCGCCGGTGCCACGGACGGCTCACACGTGAGCCTGTCCGTGGCAGCCTGGCTCCGGCTGGGAGGGCAGGTCGCCTTGGCGGCACCTGCCCCCCCCGGGGCCCCGGCAGCCGCCCCGGCGGCGCCTCCACTCCCTGCCCGTCGCTCCCCTTCCCCCTCCCGCTCCCGCTCTCGGGGGAGTGGCTCTTCCTCCCAGGGGTCGCCCCCCCGTGCTCGCCTTTGCCCGCGCCGGGCGCCCCCTCCCGAGAGCTCGCCTTCGCCCTCCTCGCCCTCGGCTGCGGCGGAGTTCGAGGAGATCCCGGTGGAGCCCGAGCCTCCTCTTCCTCCACCGGCGCACCGCCCGCCGGCGCGCCCTGCGGCGCGTGGCCCCCCACCCGCGCCTCGCCTTCCCCAAGCACCCGGCCGTCGGCCCACGCGCCGTAGCCACCGTGCCGGGAGGGCCTTCCTCCTCGCAGGACCTCCAGCCCACCCGTCACTGCCTTCACGGCACCCGGGCCCATCCCAATCTCCGCCAACCCTTTTGCCCGGACGGGGCCTTCCCCGTTCCGCTGACCCGGTCGGCTCCGCCTGCGCCATCCGCTTTTCAAGGCAGCAGGCACCCCACGCCACCGCCCGGCGGCCGGCACTCCGCCACCCCCCGCCACCTCCTTCCCCGCCCCCACCTCTGCTGCGCGCCATCCTTTCAAGGCAGCGCGGCAACTCCCTTGCCCTTTGAGCAGCCGGACGCACCTTTCACTCCACCCACACCTCTCCCCACCGGAACCCCCGGAAAAAAAAAAAAGAAAGGGGAAAAAAAAAAAAACAAAGGAAAACCGAGGTTCGCCACTGACCAAAACAAAAAAAAAATAATAACATACAGCAGACAGCAGACCGGGCGAGCCTGACGCCATAGCAGCCTGCGAGAGAGCGTTTGGCCGCTGCTCATGGCGGCGCCTCGGCCGCACTGTGATCGGGAGGAGGCACGGGCCGAAAATACACACAATGGTGACGGTGACGAAGTCGTTTTGGTTCAAGCGTTTCACCCTAGCGCCACCACGGCAGCTGGGGCCACCCTCCCGGATGTCTCACCCGCCCCCGTCGTCCTCAGTGACGGCGAGGACGCGCCTCCCCCCACCGCTCGTACCGATGGCGCCCATGCCGCGCCCACATGTTGCACCTGCCTCGAGCCCTTACTCCCTTCCGGGGTGGGGCGCCGGGCGGTCGTGTATTGGCCCGGCTGCCGGCACGCCTACCACTTCGCCTGCCTCGCCAGATCCCGCGCGCAAGTGCACCCTCCACGATGTCCTCTGTGCCGTCATGCCTGGGACCCAGCGCTCGATGCCAGCTTGAGCAGCACTTGCCACGGGCTCCACTTCAACCCCTTCCAAGAATCCGAGCCCGAGCGCGCCACGCCGCCCCCTTCTCCCCGCCCCAGGGGCGCGGCCGCCTGGCGCCAGCGCGGCCCCCCAAGTGGCATTGTCCGGACGGATGCCAACTCCTGGCTGTACGTGCCCCTACTCCTCGCCGCGACAGGCGAGCTCCACGAGGATGCCGCCTTGGCCTGGCAACAAGCCACCGCCACCACACGGTGGTGGGAGCGCGCCCGGCAAGCGCTGACAGCCGCGCCCCCGGTCCCCCTCACCACCCTCCTGGAAGCCCTCCACGCCTGCCCAGCTGCTGGCGCGCTTTCCTCGCACCAGCGCCTTTCCCGACAGGCGGCCGCGCTCCCACCAGGTGCCCAAGCGCATCTGGGCTGGGCAGTTCGCCACCTCTGCGACCCCGACGCGTACGTCCCCGCCGCTGGCCAAGAAGTGCTTCTCCAACTCTATGGTGGCCTTCACCTTGCTGCCGACCTCGACCGGCACTCGGACACCTTCCGAGCGCGCCTGGACCCTCCGGCGCCCATCCAGCTCCCTGCCGATCCCGGCCCCGTGCATCCCGCGGTCGAGACTTCGGCGCCCAGAGAGCCGGCCATTGTCCGGGCTCTGGCCCAACAGGTGGCCCGTGCCCACCGGCCCCCGCCGCGCCGCGGCGGTCGCGGCCGCGGGCGTGGACGACACGCAGCCGCGGCGGACCCTGCTCCCGCAGAGCCTGCCGAGGTCCCAGACCCTCCGCCTCCCCCTCTTCCGCCCTTTCCAAACCCCGCAGCTCTGCTCCAACAAGCGCTCCGCAGCCTTGACGACCTCGACCTCGCCCACACCTTGCGGGTGCGGGTCTCGACGTTCCAAGGTGCGCCCCGGCGCTTGCAGGGGGTCCTTGCCTTTGCGCTCCGCTTGGGCCTCACCGAAATCTGCGACCACCCCGCCAACACGGACCCTGCCCAAGCACGTGGCTGGAAGCTCTTCCTCCTGGCCCCGCGGATGCTTTGCTACCGGTCCCGTCCCGGGGAGCGCGCCGACCCCAGCGACCTCGACCGCCGAGCCACTATGTTCCGGAACGGCCAGTGGCACCAGCTGCTCGGCGAAGCTGCCAGCAGCTTCCACCCCACAGCGCCGTCCTCGAGCGTCCCCTCTGCTGACGCGCGTGCTTCCCGTGCAGCCAGCCTGGCACATCAAGGGGAACTTTCCGCGGCTGCCCGGTCGCTAGTGGCCGAGCCCCTCGCGCCGCTCTCGTCCGCCACCCTGGCCGAGCTGCGCAACCCGTCCCGGCGCCCGCAAGTCCGGCATCGACCCCTCTCGGACGACGTTGCCTCTTTCCAGCCCGATGAGCTGCTCCACGTCGATGCCACCAGATTCCTGCAAAACCTCCGCCGGGCCCGCCGCGGGGCGGCCGCTGGTCCGTCTGGCTGCACCAATGAGCACCTGCGGGTCTTGCTCGAGTCTGAATCCGACTCCCGCCTCCTGTGCGACGCGGCCTCGCTCCTGGCCTCGGCGCGGGTGCCTCCCCTCATTATGGACGGCCTCCGAGTCGGCCGCCTTGTTGCCCTCCAGAAAGGCAACGGGCGTGTGCGCGGCCTCGTGATGAGCGACGTGTTCCGCCGGCTGGTCGGCCGGACCTTGGCGCAGCAATTCTCAGCCCAGTTCCAAGAGGCGTGCCACCCCTTTCAGTACGCCCTCAGCACCAAAGCCGGAGCAGAAGGCCTCGCACGCGCCGTCCGGGTCGCGACCGAGCTCGACCCCCGCGCTACCGTGCTGTCGGTCGACGGCGTCGGCGCTTTCGATCATGTCGGACGCCAGTCGATGCTCGGAAGCCTTCTCCGCTCCCCTGCGCTTCGACCCCTCCTCCCCTACACCCGCCTCTTCTACGGCCAAGACAGCACCTACCTCTGGTGGGACTCTATTGGCGCCTGCCACTCCGTTCAGCAAGCCGAAGGGGGGGAGCAAGGCGACCCACTCATGCCTGCCTTGTTTGCGCTTGCCCAACACCCAGCGCTGCAAGAGACCGCGGCCACGATGCGGTCCGGGGAAGCGCTCTTTGCTTTCCTTGATGACATCTATGTCATTTCGTCGCCTGACCGCACCCACGCGCTCTATTCCACCTTGCGCGTTTCCCTCCGAGGCCACGCGTGCATCGAACTCAACCAAGGTAAGACCCGCATCTGGAATGCGGCTGGGGAAGAGCCGCGCCACCTCCCAGAGCTGCAGCCGGCTGACAGCAACGACCGGGTTTGGGTCGGCGACTGGACTCTGCCCCTTCGGCGCAAGGCCTCCAGGTCCTGGGCACCCCCATTGGGAGCGCGCAATACGTGCAACATGCTCTTACCGAGGTCCGCACCAAACAAGACCTCCTTCTCCACCGCATCCCATGGGTAGAGAACCTGCAGGCCGCCTGGCTGTTGCTCCTTTTCTGCGCAGCCCCCCGGAGCAACTATCTCCTCCGCGTCCTCCCACCGGCGGACACTACAGACTTTGCAGCCGCCCACGACGCCGCGGTGGCACATTGCGTCAGCACCCTGGTGGCGGCAGGCGCGGCCCTTACGGACCTACAGCTACGCCGGGCCCAACTCCCATTGCGCTTGGGGGGGTGCGGCCTGCGCTCGGCCCACCGTTCGCGCCTCGCCGCGTATTGGGCCTCATGGGCCGACACCTTGCCCATCCTCCACTCGCGCCTTCCTCTTGTGGCGGACCGCCTTCTCCAGCTCCTCAACGGCGAGGCCCGCCCACAACCACCCAGCATCCTCGCCGCCTCCCAGGCAGCCCAGCTCCTCCGGAACAGCGGGGCGACTGTCCCACCCTGGGAATCTATCATCGGCGGCCGCCATTTCTCGCACGAAGACCGGACCCCGGGCGATTTCCTGCGGGGGTGGCAACGCGACATCAGTGCAGCCCAGGACTTGGACGAGCTCGCCGCGCTCCTATCTGACCTTTCCCCTCCGGAGCGCGCGCTTCTCCTCTCCCAGGCTGGCCCACACAGCGGCCGCGCAGTCACCACCCTTCCTACCAGCCCGGAATTCCAGCTCGGCAACCCGCATTTCCGCACCTTGCTGCAACGGCGGCTCCGAGCCCCCTTGAGCTGCGGTCCTTCCCGATGTCGGTGTGGCTTGACACTCGACCCTCACGGCGACCACCGTGCCGCATGCGCCACCACTGGCGTCCTCCGGGCACGAGCTGCGCCCATCGAACACGCGGTCGCCCGCATCTGCCGCGAGGCCGGTGCCCGCGTCGCGGTCAACGTGCCGCTCTCGCGCATGAACCTCGCGGTCCCGGTCACCGACGCACGCCAGATTGAAGTCCCCGCAAACGACTTGCCGCTCTGGCACGGGGCTCAGCTGGCAGTCGACGTGACCCTCGTCAGCCCCCTTGGCCGCACCGGACAGGTGCGCCACGCTTCCGACGCGAACCCGGGCGCGGCGATCCTGGCAGCCTCCCAGCGCAAGCGGGAACACACCTACCCCGAGTTTTCCGGCTCGCGCCGCTGCCACCTAATCATCTTGGGTCTCGAAGTAGGAGGTCGTTGGGGCGAGGAAGCCGCCGACTTCCTCCGAGCCTTGGCGCACGCCCGCGCCCGCACTGCGCCAGCACTCCTCCGCTCGGCGGCAGTTCAGGCCTACGTGCACCGTTGGGCCGGCCTCCTATCCGGCGCGGCGCAGCGCGCCCTGGCCGAGACTCTCCTCGAACTCCCGGCCGCGGCCGCGCCCGGCGTCGATGGGGAGCCCCCGCCGTTCGCCGCGACCCTGGCTGACGTCCGGTGGCATGAACGCCCACCGGATAGTCGCCTCCCGCGGTGACCGGTGTGGCTGTACATAGCCTTCCCCAATGGCAAAGTCCATTGGCGCGTGAGACGCAGAGTGGGTCATGCAGCAGGAGTGTTAGTGAGTTAAAAAAAATTACACTACAGCTGCAACTACCACTGCAACTACAACTACAACTACAACATACTACAACTACAACTACAACTTACTACGCTAATTACATCACACTACACTAATTACATTACATTACATTACGCTACTCTACACTACATTCCACTACAATTCACTACGCTAACTACAGCTACAACTACGCTAATTTACACTACACTACACTACACTACCCTACATTACGTTACATTACATTACACTACACTCACCACACCGCCACAAATGCAACTGCAACTGCACTACACTAATTGCACTACAGCACAGCTACAACTCTCCTATAGGCTCCCTATTTTTGAATCTTCTGCCACCGCCTTGTGCGGTACTACTGGTAGTTTGGGTATAAATATATCCCATTAAGTCACCATTAAATCGCCATTAAATCCCAATTAAATCACCATAAAATCACAATTAAATCACCATTAAACCACCATTAGACCACCATTAAATCACCATTAAATCACCAGTAAATCAAAATTAAATCACCAATAAATCCAGCTTAAATCACCATTAAATCGCCAGGAAATCACAATGAAAGTTCATTCGCCTTTAAATCGCAATTAAATCACCGTTAAATCACAATTAAATTACATTAAATCACCATTAAATCATGATTAAACCACCATTAAATCATGATTAAACCACCATTAAATCACCATTAAATCACCATTGAGTCACCATTAAACCACCATTAAATCCCATTCAATCACAAATAAATCATGATTAAATCACCATTGAACCACTATTAATTTACCAACTTTCAATCGCCACGAAATCATCATTAAATCATCATTCAATCTCATTAAATCCCCTTAAATCACCTTTTCACCAAACTTCCTGGGCTCCTCCAAAGCTGGACGAGCGTTGGAGGTTTCTGGACTTCGATTGTGGCATCCCGGGGCTCAGAGCAGATGCTTGGCTCAGCCAAGGTGGGAGACCTATCAGCCGTTAAGAATTGTTATATAATTAGGCTTAATTCTTGTGAATTAATAGCTAAAAATGATGGTGAAAAATGGATGGCTAATAATTTTTGTTGGCAACTATAACAATTAATGATGATGGTTGATGATAAAATATAATAGCTACCATGAATGGGGGAATGGGGAATATCCCACCCATAAAATGGTGATGTCAGGTCATGATGTAGGGATGGTTTATGACATTGGGTGTGCCACATTACTCCTTGGTCACTTGTTACAAAATTGCTTTGGAAAATGGATGAACATGGATGAACGCTTGCCCATTATTAGATAATGTATGGTGCTTTTCTATGTGGCTAATCATAAGAAGTTCGTAGCCAGGAGGCGTCAACCTGTTCCGAGTCCAAGCACAGGCCTGAACGGGCCCCCCCCGGAAATACGCAACCCTCCACAAGTCCGCGGTCAAAGAATCAGGGTTGCGAATATGTTCAGCTTCAACATATTTCAACATCACAGTTTTTTCTGGATAAATCATGATTTTAAATCCTATGAAATCCGGATAATTACATTCCCATTTTGACACCAGTGGTCCGTCCACCCTAGGAGACGCTTCTCCTCTTCTGCCTGGCCACCCCGGTGCAGTGCTACTGTGGGCGTCGCTTCCACCGCGCCGCCAAGCGCGCCTTGAAGCGCAGGGCGCCTAACATGGACGTGCTGATCTCGACCGCCACGTGCTTGGCGTATGGTCCCTGGGATCACTGGTGGAGCCCATCTAGCCCCAAAAAGAACAGGTTTCACCAAGAAAAATGGTGCAAAATGCAAATTCAAAAATGGTGGGTTTGACAGTGGTACCCCACAAAACATCAACAAGTGAATAAAAACGGGATCCACAATGGGATGCAACAAGACATTTGGGACGGATAAGAAAAACCACCCCATGTTGGGACGTTACGACGTAAAAGGTTGGTAGTACGGGGCTTACACATGTCCGAAGTGTGTGGGGTTTAACGAATCGGTTTCTTCTTAATGGAATCAAGAATTCACCTTGGATTCTTCGCCATCAGCAAATGGAGAGTCAACCAGTAAGAATTGGGACGTATCACATCCTATTAGAGATGATGCTAACTAATATCAATTTCATGTAATTTCACCAAAAATGGACATTTGATTATATATTCATGACAATGAGATATATTGTACTCTCGGAGCCAACAACCTAAAAAATAGTTAAACAAATGTTACTTGAAATGTTTCCCAAAAATCAAGGTCAGGTGATCAGAAACCCTCATGTTTGGGGATAAATGGATACATTAACCAATCCCCATGCCTTGAACTAACCATCCACCCCACCATGTATAGATGAACATAGATCTCAAGAAACACCATTAAACATAAGCCAAAATGGCCCAGAAATCCCAATCAGCACATGCCATCGAGATAATACATCCTGAGATATCCTGACCGAATCAAACACCCGTTTTTTTGGACCAGTCAGTCAAAACACGGGTTGCGCAAATGCAAACCAGGTTTGGGATAAAAAAAGAACGTTTGTTTTGCAGTCAGGGTTCCAATGGTACTGGGCATATGTTGGGATGATTGATTGGTTGGGGTTTGGGGTCAGAGTTGTGTTGGGTGATCAATTGAGGCTAATTGAGGTAAATCCATGACCGAATTTCGATTTGGGCTGGAAAACAACATTTGGCAAGCCTATTATGTAATCAATTATTGTATTCCCATGGATCTAAGTACCCATTGAGAGCATGTTTTTTTAATGATGATGTTGTATACCCAATTGCTCATGTTTGCAGAGGGTTGCAACCACCAGCAATGTGAACAAAAAAACGCAACGCCCCAGAAACCATTGTTGGATTTGCCAGATTATGAAGGATCCATGCTTGAAGGATCCTTGAAATTGTTCGTGAATCAATGATACATCAAAGATTAATCAGGAAACATCTCTAACATTGGGATGAGAGTGGCACCAATCGCGGCACCCGGATGGGATACACTACGTGAGATATTTGGGATGACTGCTGCAAGGCTACTCCACCTTCATGATGGTCTTGTCTGTCGCCTTTACCTTCCTAGGCCGGGCTCCTATAGAGGTTTACTGGGCCATTTCCCGCTGAACAGTGGAATATTCTGACATATTCCAAGTTCCACACTACTGAAAAGTGACCATGGGATATTTCGAACTTGGAACATCATATTTGATCAATGGCCATTTCAAGGAACCTAAATTGGAGGTACCTACCATATAGAAGGCCTATGTAAGGGAATATCCCCAGAACATATGGCCTTATATGGGACAGTAGCTTCATTTTAGGATCCGGAAATTCCCATTGATTTGATTCTGATCCCATGAGCCATCCCATTTGACTTTCATTTGTTGTCACGAAGCCAACAACCAAGGCCCAGCCCTGGTCCAACCATGACTGGCGCTTCATTTTCAATCATCCCAGGATATCCCAGGGGTATACCCAATAAGAAACCCAAAATTTGATGGTTTACTATGAGGTTTACCACGTCATAGAATAACCTGCTTCTCTTCCTAGAACCGGTTTATCGCAGCTGAGATAGGAGAAGGATATAGCACGCGTTGCAGTGTAGACTCCATGGCACCTGTACGTTCCTTTATTTTCCCCAGTCAATTCTGGCGATTTCATGTTTGAGATATTTCAAAAAGTCAAGTCATCATCTCCCCGAAGTTCAAGAACTATTTTTCAAATGATTCCACCAATAGGTACCCATCTCTGCCCACAATGAATCCCAGGTGAAGTCCAGGAGGGTCCACCCCCCCACTTCTTTGAGACGCCTTGCAGCCTCATCACCGTGGTGTTGATTGGACGCTTATTGGAGGCTGCAGCCAAGCAACGTACCACGGATTCCTTAGATGAGTTGGTGAGGGCCAGCCCTCCCACGGCCAGGGTCAATGGGGAGGAGCTGCCGATCGAACTGGTGCCCTGGCCAACTTGGTGTCATGTCGTCTTGTCATTAGTCGCATCTAATTACCCCAACTGCTGACCTTTCGGAGACGGCAATTTCCAATGGTTGAATATAAGAATCCACAAATCTTGAGTTACTTTTCGGGGTGGCTACCGAAGCAATCAACCTAAGGCGTTGATATGAACCGGTTTCATGAAAGGAGAGATGTGTTTTGAATTTGCCAGAAAGATTGAAGAAGTTTATCACCCTGCCCAGACTTTGGAAAGACACGTGGATCCGAACAGATCCCTCAATGACCAACAAACCTGCTTCTTACAATCACCTGATGTCATGGGAAAATGCAACCAGTACAAAATCATCCAACATAATCTAAGCAACACAATGTCATTGAATAACCCAAAGCCATCCAACTTCATCCAACCAACATTATTTCAACCATCATCCAAGACAAAGTAACACCAAATCCTTCCAGCAAAGCCCATACCACCAAGAAACACTTAGGTGCTCCCACCTCACTTACAGAGAGGGCCATGGAAAGGTAGAGAATTGCTAAATCCTCCTGGGGGTTTCACCCTGGGCAGTTTGATATTTCAATGTTGGGCCAGAAATGGGGATCTGGTTGATCTCACCATGAGATCCTCATTACAATCCCATGGAATATCCCGACAACATATCTCCAGTAGATACTCCATATCTCTTTGATCCATGGGTCGAATCCCTATGTTTGATGCTTACATTACATACATCCCCCATCAAATCCCATTCTGGTCCCACCAAAGTGCACCCACCTTCCCAGATCCCAGATAAGTCCCACAAAAGTAGCCAACTATGCCCACTCTTTGCTTGATTTGTCCACATTAAATCCAAGCTATATCGCCATGATTTCGCCTCAAATCCTCCATGGTTCATTGGTTGCAATCCAAAATGTTTGATGCTTAAATCAAATATGTTTGAATCCCATGTAATCGTAATGAAATTCCCTTCCCCCCCGATGATATTCCCATTGTCTCCCATTGTGCCCTCCCCATTGTGCCATCAAATTCCCACGTATTTCAGCTTCTTTTGTTGCTGAGGTCCCATGGTGACACCAGTTTTCTGGGTGACATCCCATTCTGTAAAAAGTTCAACCCCCATGAATCTTCCAGATTTTCTTCCAGTCTATTCCCAATTTTCAGAGGTTGCCCTGGGGGATGTGGTCGAGATCCTCCCTGGCGAAGTCGCCCCCGTGGACGGAGAGCTGCTGAGCTGGGACGAACCCAGCGGCACATCGGGCGGGCAGCAGGGCTGGTCCACGGCGGCAGTGGTGGCCTTTGATGAGTGACCGGTCGTGGATGGTCCACCTGTGGAGTTGGTAGGATCGGGAGGATGAAACATGGTGAAACATGGTGAAACATGGGAACCACCCAGAAACTAGGTGAAACTGAGACAAACAAGATTTGTTTGGGGGCCACATTTTAAGTATGTCACCCAGAAAAGAAAGCAAGTTATTTTGGTGAAGCCAGCAGATAGCCGGAGTGCCGCCATTTTGTTTGGTGAAATTGACTCCTGTGGGCCACATGTTGTGTGCTCGTGTTTTTTTGAAGGGAGTGGGAGAAAATCGGGCTGCGGCTTTGCCACTGTGAGTCACAACCTGGTGACTTACATTGAAAATGGTAGCGAGCCAGCTGGGAGTCAGAACATTTGCACCCTCTTGCAACAAATGGGACTGTCCCAGCCAACCGGGCCAACCGAGGTCTCTGCTTACAGGTGAGAGCCGGCCGGTTCCAAAACATCAAAAGGACTGCTTGAAGGGCTGAATATGTTTGCTGATTTCATCCAGAAACAAGACTATCACCATGCAAAATTCAGTGCATGTTTTCGGCCTCCTATCCCAATCCTTCTCCTTGCCTATCCCTATCTACCGCGCGGCCTCACCCTGTCAGGACACAGTCATCGGCTGCAGCCGCCACGTGGGTTCGAGCCCGTGCCGTGTCCTGGCCACTCGTGTGGGCAGCGGCAGCGCCGTGGCGCAAATCGTCCAGCTGGTGGAGAAGGCCGCAGCCTCCGCCAGCACGGCGCCGGCTCAGCGCTTTGCCGATGCGGCCGCCACGGTCTTCGTGCCCTGCGTGGTGCTGCTAGCGGCGCTCACTGCTTTGGTGTGGTTTTGTGGCCCGGAACAGCTAAGCTGCTGCATTTTTTAAAAATCTGTTTTTTTGTGTGTGTTGTTTGTTGGTTTCGTTTTGACCGTTTTGATTCCCCAAACGGAGTGTCCACACTGAGGGCTTCTTACGGTACTCCATCTAGTCTAGGCACCGTATTTTTCACATTGAAATTTTTTGAAAAGTTATGAAAAATTTTGCGCAAAAGTTCCCTTGCGAGATGTCCATGTGCATTTCGACTGCTTGGCTGGATTTGTGGTCGCACAGCCCTTTCGTGGCTTTGTGCGTGTCAGATCGCTCTCATTGCGGCGCGATGCGTATTTGATATCGCAAGCGCAACCCTCTCGTGACTTTGATCGCTCTCGTTGTGGCGCGGTACGAAGAAGATCCTCTCTAAGAGGTCCTTGCATGAAGATCTTGCAGCTGCCATGTGTACAATTAGGTGCTTGTATGAAAGCTTTTCTGGGATGCTCCTGGGAGGTTCTTGTATCAATATCTTGTAAGATCTCCTCCAGCAGCAGCAGGCCCTTTTGTGGCGATCCTGTGAGATTCTCTCAGGACCCAGGACCTCTTGAAGATCTTCTCGCAAGGACCTGTACAAGATCATGCAAAGGCCTCTGGCAGCATTTCACTAGGATCCCCACAAGATGCACAAGATTACGCTGTTGAAATCCTCCTCAGGAGGTCTTGCAATAAGATTTTGAAGATGCTCTGCATTGGTGCTTGTATGAAAGTTCTCTTGGGTTGCTCGTAGGCAGTTCTTGTATGAAGATCTCGCGAGATCCTCTATCAAGAAGGTCTTTCTTTGGCGATCTCTTGCATTTCTTTGACTTGCATTTCTTTGATGTCCTGGTATGAGTTTCTGGTATGAGGTCCTGATGGGTAGACATAGCGTTGCTTCTTGTCCCAAAACAAGTTTCTGCTGCTGCAATTCCGATGTCTAACCTGATCTGATCCTGATCTGTTATCCGGGTCCTTGATCTCCTGTGAAGGGCCAGGTGGTTGTAGTTGGTAGTTGTCCACCGCTTAACACGCCAGGGTCCGCGTAGCTGGAAAGATTGAAATTTGTGTTTTCCCTATTGTTTCTTGAGGCATTCAAATCTTTGCCCATGATCGATGCAAAACCATAAAAAAACACACGTTTTGAAACTTGCAAGGAACACTCCCGTATGCCTTATGAGGGTCGGGCTAGATCCAGGCATGGTGAGTTCTGGAAGTGTGCGCATGCCTTCATCGCACCATTGGTCCCATGCCTTCTTGACATGCGAGCAGATGCTGTTTGCATTGAAGTTTGGCCTTTCTGTGCTTCGCCTCAGTTGGGAATCATTGGGCATATCGGTTCCTGCTAAGAGATATTTTCTTTAGTCTACTATGCAGTTTTAGTGGCTTGATAAAAAAGAATAACAAACGTCCATTTCCAAGCATTTGGTTTAGCAGGGCACCAGGTTTTGACCCACACCACATCACGTGAAACTTTTAAAAGGGTTTCAAGATGATCCTTCAAGATGGGCCACATGTAGGTCTCGCAATTTAGATGGATGGGTTTGTCTTATTTTAGGGCATTCCCTAATCCACTGGTTTGTTCTCATATCCCCTATGAAAAAGGTAGTTTTCAGACACACCAACCAAACTTGTTTACTTTGCTTAAAAGGCGTAAAGTGGCGGAATCAAAGCTATGCCATGTTGGTTCCAGTGCGTGTGACGGCTCTAAGTTGTGTGATCCCCATCACCTTAATTTAGTGGGGTTTTAGTCCGCTTAGCTATGGCATGAAAAAATACAAAGTAAAGGAATCCCAGCCAACACCATTCAATCATCATCAAACCATCATTAACAATCATCCACTCCCATTACATGACCCATTATATTAAACCATCCTGAATCCCACAAAATTATCTACATATGTTGCTACAAAAACTACGAAACATCCTACATATCATCTCTCCACCTTTTCCCATGTTTCTGCCCTCGGTAGGTGCTTCTGGTGGCCTGTCCATGCGCCATGGGCCTGGCCACCCCCACAGCCGTGATGGTCTCCACTGGCGTGGCGGCGCGGCGCGGCGTGCTGGTGAAGAGCGCCGCGGCGCTGGAGCTGACGGCGCGGAGAGGGGCCATCGTCCTGGAGACCTGGAACGGGATGATTCGTGGGTTAAGTAATGGTTAAGGCTGGAATTATGATAGTGGTGTAGCCATTAACCATCCATTAATCAGAATGAATCATCCATTGTTGGAGAATTGATGATTGATGGATCGTATTTAATACTGTGGGATATTAGTCGGTAATGGAAAATGAATATACATTAATGATGATTGTATAACTAGCGGTGACTAATCACTATATATATATCATTTTATATATATATTATATATATTTATTTATTTATTCATTTATTTTATTTTCTATATACACAATAGGATATAGTAGGATATAGTAAACAAATGAATAAAACAAATGTATGTATGTATGTATATATATATAATAGTGTGATAAGTTTGATTATGATGGGATAAAAGCTGGTAATAGATGGTTAATCCAACAATGGGTGATTAGCAATGTGGTAAATTGGTGATTAGCAATGTGGTGAAGCCAATGCTATAGACCATCCGATTAACCAACCATGACTGTGGGGTTATCTTACATCATCCCAGAGGTATACTATACGCAATAGTAAGACCCCAACGGGAATGGTTGATTATTAGCATTTCGGATATAATAACCATGAAAGGGATGTTCGACATGACAAAACTATTTGGGATAAAACAAATTGAATGGATTTTTCAACGGAACACAACTGGAATTCAGCCAAGAAATTTCTTTCCAATAGGTTTCGAAGATAGGATAAAGCAGTGGAAACTTATGGGGTGTATCTTTGGGAATGTAACTTTACAACAACTTTCGGATGAACAATTGGGTGAATTATTGTAAGGCCTGGAGGTGGGAAAATTAGAAAAAACGTGATACCACTGATTCTGGACTATATCCATCAATGCCGGGGATGTAGCCATTATGAATTATTGATGTAAGTAAGCATCAGCAATGGGGAGGAGTCCAAAAAAAATTGATCATGTACCACAAATATGGGGATAGAACCATTAACTAAAGCCATATATTGGACAACACATTGACAATAACCGGACTAAATCCACCAAATGGGAGGATCATTCAAGACAACTGGAGCCCTGCACCTGGAAAAATAATAGGTGCAACCGCGAAAGCCAAAGAATGTGGATTTTGCATGTGGACTTTGCGGGTTAATTTCCACTATCCTATGGTCCCAAATATTTTAAATCCCTTCTGTTAGTAAACTATATCTTCTTATTCTTGGTGGTGTTTAATATGAACGGGGGATGGGATTAGACGCGCTTGGTAGCGCTTCTTGTCGCCCAAGCCGCCGGTGCTTCAAAATATACATACCCCCGCAAGGAAAAGGGGACATCCATGAACAGATACAAATCCAGGCTTTGTGGTGAGCTGCTCTTGGGTGAGAGTATATAGTACGGACGAAGTAACTAAGTATTTGTATTATATGCTTCGGTGTGATGTGTGCAAATTAATTATGTATATAACTAGTATAAGTATGTCTTATTTTTCTCGTATGTGCATAATTCCCATGTATAATATTTGGTATCATTCACAAGGGGTGCATAATACACACACATACATATACATATATATATATACACAGTATATTTACATATGTCCCATTGCCAAAATTTGGGTGAATTGGTCATATTAGCTGACGGTCGCCAAACCATGAATAGAGATTTGTGCGGCCACGGCCACTTTTTCATGGATGACCATAGCACATCTTTGTTTGACCATGACATATTTATATATATATATAAATATACATTGATTGATATACTACATATATTTAAACTGATGACGTCCCATTCCTGTGTATACATGCATATGCAGCAAGGTAAACATACATAAACAGTCATATACATATACATATAAATACATTACGTATACGTATACGTATTTTAAACAATATATATATATTTATATATATATATGTAAACACCGTATTCACCTATACAATTTTGCCTTAGACTCGTTGCCCAGGGATTCGTGCTGAGGACAAGACAGGCACCTTAACCTTGGGACGGCCCGGGATGGTCTCGATGGCCCTGAGAAGCTCCGCGCAGGCTACGCACGCAGCGCAGGAAGTGGCAAGCCTCGGAAGGCAGCTGTAACTCGTCGATATGCATTTTCCTTAACATGGGTGTAGAAGAAACATTCCATCTATCTATCTATCTATCTATCTATCTATCTATCTATCGCTCTGTCGATCCATCCATCCATCCATCCATCCATCCATCCATCCATCCGTACATATATACGGTAAGGACATTTAAATATGTGGAGGAGGGCGGGCCAGACCGCGAGGCCCCGGAGGTAGTCTAAGATACCAGTTCGTATATTTAAAAGTCCGTATAATTAAATGTAGTTACCATATATATATATAATATAGTATATATATATATAATAGTATAGTTAATGCATTTTAAAAAGATATATGCGGAATGGGTTTGCTGTGGTTTTCACCAAATATCATACGCATATAGCCACGTAAGAAAATTTAGATATATCGATGGAGGTGTGTATTTCAAAACATGTATCTTTGGAATTTAACCAACAAACAAATGCGAAATGATTTATGGGTGGCTGGTTGGTTTCATGATGTTTCTTGGGGATCCCCCTTCAAATACCCATAAAAAGGTGTCAAAATCCCAAAACAACTGGTATCTTGCCCAATGTTTAGGGCTCCTTGGAGGGCCGAAGTTCCCAATAAGGACCACAAGGACAGCCACGAGCTCGACGGATCGGAGCATCGCGGTGGTGCAGTTAGATCGAAATGCGCAACCGGTGCCCTTCCAGGCGATCCCCTGGAGAAGGGTTGGAATGAGGGCTCATGACCCATTTCGATGGGGGATGATGGAGGGAAAACATTGATTGGCCATCAAATTGGTAATATCTCTGGGGAAATTATACCGACCTCACTGCGACCTCACTGGAATCATGGTTAATAAGAGGAATCATCCCAACATGGCCTTATTTCAGGTTAGTGAATTATTGTAATTTGCGCAGATATATCTTCGGTGTCATCATTGCCATGGCTCGGAAATTCCGGGACTGACCGTGGACACTTATAATTATAGCTGGGAAAATCATTGAACTTTTGCTGGGGGAGTTTCCAGCTAGTGATCATTGATGACACCGGAGGGTAGCCTAGAGAACAAATGAGGAAATCTATGACATCCCGAAAATCAAAACGTGCGATGGCAAGGTTTTGCCATGATAGGTGCTCGACGTTGCATACGTTGCCATGGCCCAGATGTCATGATCCAGCCATTGTTCAAGAAAACCTGGACCCATATCATCTCGTATCTCCACTGCGGTTCCATACACCTGGGTGTGTTTGAAAATTGAAAATACAGTGCACGAAACTCTTGTAGTAGATGTTCATCATCATGTTCGCCAATCAACTTGTTTTTCTATGGTGTATCATGCCCCATCCGTCCCATATCGTCACTCTTGTCAAGATTCAGGGCTCGGAGTCAGAGCTGCTTGGGCTCTGCATCCTTTTGGCCGCCTCTGCTTCCCATTCGGAGCATCCCTTGAGTCGCGGCTGCGAAGAGGGTGCCGCCCAGGTCGCCGGCTGCACTGCTGCAATGCTGCTGCAGGGGGCACCGGAAGTGTCGGACTTCGAAGTGCTGCTGGGGGTTGGGGTGAAATTCCGCCTGGGCGACCTGAAGGTGAGTGGGGATCAAAATTTGTGGATGAGTTGACTTGTTTTTTTCCTTTTGGATGGTTTTATAACCACCGTGATTTTGGTGGTCTGACCCATGAAAACCAAGAGGATGTGATATTATATCATATAAACAAATAATTGCTGGTAATTTGTTTTGAAATAATCGGAGTAGGGGGTTATAAACACTACCGGTGAAGCACCCAGCATCGGGGATGACGTCCGCAGGTGTCCGTGGGCTTCTTGGAATACTTGAGCAGTGATTTGGATGCCACGGACTGGGCACAAGGGCAGAGAAGTCGAGGATGCAGTATTGTGGCGGTACAAGCCAATGGTGCCTGAAGCTGTGATTCATAGAAAGTTTGTATAGTTGTTGTTCCTCTGACGCATATGCACCCGTGGGCCCGGGGCTGTCCAGAGGACACTTCTCTGGCATACAGGTGGAAGTCACATGTGACACTTGAAAGTTCTAGAACTCTTGGGGACGACTTATTCACTTATATTTTTTCAATGTTTTCAACAAAATGTCAACCCTGGATTAATAAACCCCTAGGCTGTTTAATTGGGAGGGTACCATTTAAGTATCAGATTATGACTATTGGAGGAGTAATTAATAAACCGTGGTTTATTAATCCGGGGTTGACATTATATTAGTATGTATATAATACTATATATATGTGTATATATATAAATATACCTGGAGTCTCCACTACCCTTCGTTTTTGGGGCCGTTTGCAAAACACATCTTTTTTGGGTACGTTTGATACTTCTTGGGGTCGTTTCATGCAAAAAAGGCATTTTATTTTCCAAGCAGGTGCCGGTTATATAATAAGCATTACTAAGCTAAATCATGTGAGCGTTTTGTGCTTGTCCTGTCTGATGTTGGATCAGGCACCCTCACACATCATTCAGACCTTGTCGACATGTAAAATTTTCGCCTGCTTTTTAGAATGAGCTGCGGGGGCAGACATTTGCACATTGTGAAACTTATGCGGAATATACACGGGGTTTGAGCACATCCACTCGCCCTGATCTTGTGGTGCCAGCTGCTGAAGCAGTTTTGACGGATGGACGGATGGACGGACGGACGTGAAAAAAGATGCGTTTTTTTTTTTTAAGTCCTTTTGGTTTGGACAGGTCCAAACTGGACGGATATTTCCGTACTTTGGACGCATTTTTCCGTACTTTCGGACTCCGTCCGGACGGCCCTCAACAAAAAAAGGTACGTTTGAAGGAAAAAAGGCCTTTGCATGTTTGCGTTATATGGGCAAATCTTCCAAGGACAATTCTTCACCAAAATTGAGCAGTGCACCCGTATGTTCGCAACTGAGTGTTGAGACGGACCCTCATTCGTGCAATAATCAAAGAGCGAAGCACGTCCAAAAATCAAAGCAAGGAAGATCGAAACCATGGCACCAAACACGTAAACGAGAACCAATACTTTGGAAGTCTTTGCTCCTGCACCTTCAAGCAGCCAAAACAAAAGTGGCACCTGCAAGAATGAGTTGCAAGTTGGCAATGTGGCACATTTATTTGATTTCCACAGTTTCAGCTGCATGAGTGAACGTCATTAACATGCAAAAAACATCCCCGTGACTTAACTTTTGTATTGGAGGGGGGTGTACCCCCATGTGATAATACATCAATTTGGGAAACCTGAGGAAATGTAAGGTTTCTTTTGGTATGGTATATTTAACATGATCTTTTCCTCTGTTGCCGGGTTCCTCCGCTTTACTCTTGCATTCTCTATCTTTCCTCTTCTTTCATTATCTTTTGTTTCCTGTTTTCTCTTTTTGTTCCCGTAGTTTTTTTATGTCTTTTTAACCCCTTTTCTCTTTCCATTTCATTCCATTTCTTTCCTCTCAGCCTCTTTTGTTTCTCTATGTTACTCTATCCTCTCTGCTCTCTTTCTCTCTCCTCTACTCTATTCTTTCTCCTCGTTTTCTATTATAGGTTGCCGGGTTGCCGGGTCGCCGGGTTGCCGGGTCGCCGGGTCGCCGGGTTGCCGGGTACCACTGCTCCTCTTCCCTCAAGCCTTCCGCTCCGTCTCGGGCTCTGTGCTCTGGAAGCAACAAGAACTTACTGTCAATCTCCCAGACGGAAATGGGAATCAGCTCTTCACCATTCAAAGTCTCATCCTGCAGTCAGAAGAGAGAGTGTCAGAGAAGAGAGAGTCAGAGAAGAAAGAAGATCCAAGTCGTCAAGAAAGCGGGGAAGTGATCCGAATTCAGAGATGCATGGTGATGCAGCTTCTTTCAACCCTAGCCACATTGCTCCCGCCTTCCCTCGGGTTTGGTACTTGGCCCGGATCCTGATTGCCATATCAGAAAGTAGTGAAGGGCGTGCAAGGCACAGCCCCCTTTGGTGTCCCTTCTGAAAGGTGAGCTACAAGGCGCCCGGGACGTCAGTACCTGTAGGAATGACAATGGTTTTCTCCTACCAGGATTATCCTTGAATTGAATCAATTGACAATGGCTTTCTCCGACAGGGATGATGATAGAATCCTAAATCAATTGCCAATGTCCTTCTATCTGGGCAAATCCCACAGAGACTATCCTTGAATGCTGTTAGTCCTTCTATGGTGTCTCCCACAAGGACCATCCTTGAATGCTAGATGACATTAAATGACAGGTTGCCTCGCCATATTTCCCTCTGCCTCGTTTAAATCCTCAGGATTTAGCCAAGGCAAAGCTAGTCCATAACTAAAGGCAGTCATTTAATGTCATCTAGCATTCAAGGATGGTCCTTGTGGGAGACACCATAGAAGAACATTGTCGCACCCGCCGAAACATTGGAAATATATCATCATCCTGGACCAGGCCATCATACAAAGCAATCTTCTTGAATTGATCTTCGCTCAAGCGATAACGTTTGTTTGCTCGGGCATCTTCATGCCTGAGTGATATGCTCAAAGGCATCTGAAATGAGAGTCAGCACATCAAAGCTCACATACGTAGTCTTGCACATGTCTTTGCTACAAAGTTGCCTGGGGGGCACTCTGTTCGGGGCCCGAAGTTCGGGGCCCGAAGTTCGGGGCCCGACTCTTGTGGCACAGGTATGCCGAAAAACATTTGATTACATCATCAGAGTTCACATACATGTGCTTCTACATGCCTTTGCTACAAAGTTGCCTGGGGGCACTCTGTTCGGGGCCCGAAGTTCGGGGCCCAAAGTTCGGGGCCCGAAGATAGGGGCCCGAAGTTCGGGGCCTGAAGTTCGGGGCCCGACTCTTGTGGCACAGGTATGCCAAAAAACATTTGATTACATCATCAGAGTTCACATACATGTGCTTCTACATGCCTTTGCTACAAAGTTGCCTGGGGGGCACTCTGTTCGGGGCCCGCAGTTCGGGGCCCGAAGTTCGGGGCCCGACTCTTGTGGCACAGGTATGCCAAAAAACATTTGATTACATCATCAGAATTCACTTACATGTGCTTCTGCGTACATGCCTTTGCTACAAAGTTGCCTGGGGGCACCCTGTTCGGGGCCTGAAGTTCGGGGCCCGACTCTTGTGGCATAGGTATGGAATAAGGACACGCTGGATTGAAACCCATGTTTGCCCCCTTTTGCTGCTCTGGGATGAAGCGCGAAACCCTATCATTTAACCATACTCATAGCCCTACTTAGTAATTTTAATGTATTACCATCCCCCCCCTCTAAAAGTAGAGTTGTCCATGGGGATCAAAAAACATCAAAAAACAGTACTTGAATTCAAAAAAGTACTTTCGGGAAAAAATGTAATTTTTCTTGAAAACACAAAAAATTCATGAACTTCTACACCACCCCCCTTTACTACCAGAAGATATTTTTTAGATAGCAAATAAGAAAATGGGTTTGTATCCCTTGATTTCTTGGAAAATAATTAATAGCCTAATAAGGAAAATGGGGGGGATACAAACTAAAAATAATTAGTAGCCTAATAAGGATTGATTTTGGCGTTTTGTATAATTTAGGGTCGTTGGAGAGTCAAGGTATATACGTATATCCCTATGATACCACCATTTTGTGTCGTTCAATCTCCCGCCTCAGTGCTAGGCATCCTGCTGGGCATGGCCGCGCTACGGGATACCCTGCATCCCAATGCCTGGCAAGTGATCCAGGAACTGAAAGACGCAGGTGGGTCGTGCGGATGTCGTGCGGTGTCGGCTGTCGTTCCATGGGTACCCTCCGGTAAACATAGAAAAAACATGAACAAACATGGCCATAGACACAGTTGATTTACCCAAGTCATTTTCCATAGTCATGTTAGTTTACTAGCGGGTAATAGCTGTCTGATCCGTTCAGACCTGGTCTTTAAAAAGATGAATATCATGCATTTTAAGGGCAAACCAGCTATGAAATGAGCAACAGATTTTTGACAAGCTGCTTTCCCGCTTTGGTACTCTCCATTGTAAATGAACGTCGCTATGGAAAATCCATGGTTTTCCTAGGGAAATGATATCACGATTGGTGGATGTTCATGGATTTACCTATGGGTTTTCCATACCTATACAGTCTACACAGTCTATACAATATAATATATATATAGTGACGGACAACTACTTAGAACATCATTTGGAAAAAATCTGAAAATCGTCGCAGCGGGGATGTTCTAAGTATGGGTTTCAAAAAAAGTAGTTAGAACATACCCAAAACCTATACTTAGAACATTTCCAAGCTATACTTAGAACATCCCAGTGGGGAACCAATGGGAACCATATATATATGTATGTTCGAAGTATTTGTCCGTCGCTTTTAACATCATATGTGTGTGTGAACAGCGGCAGTGGTACACTGGTACACATATAGTTCCACACATTTCCACAGCACAGTTCGCAATGTGGGTTTCCACGGCACAGTTGTCCATTGTATACATGAGGCATCTCCAAAACATTCAAAATTATACTTAATACATTAATTCATTCTAGCTCATTTTAGTATTGAAACCCTATGCTTTATGTTCTAAGTATGGTGTTCACCTAGGTATTTGTGTGTATATATGCAGATTTACCAAAGTAACAGGACATGTTCTAAGTATATGTGTGTTTTAATGTTCTAAGTATGCAAAAATCAATGGAGATGTTCTAAGTATATGTTTTTCTGATGTTCTAAGTGCGTACTTAGAAACATTTCTGATGTTCTAAGTATGGTAGTTTTGATGTTCTAAGAGGAGGTTTCGAAATTTTGGAAAATTGATGTTCTAAGTACATGTCCGTCACTATATATATATATTTATGTACATATTACCGGAGGATCTTGCCTCTTTTTTGGTGCATCCGCCCTTGAACCATGGCATGAAGGCGAAGAGGTCTGGATGTGCACTGGTGATCATAGCACCACTGCCGCGGCTGTGGCCGATGAACTTGGGATTCCTATGAAGAATGCAACTCTGCTGGGATTTGGGATCTGCTGGGTGTGATAAAACATCTGGTTATGACTAACAGTTTGCCATGGTATAGATGGCCCATAGAAATAGATGGTTTACCTATTAAAAATGGTGATGTTCCATGGCTATGTTAAAAAAACAGATGGTATCTCTCGCAAGATAGGTGTATTGAATCTTGGACGGACCTGAGTTTGTACTGTGATTTCTCTCGTGTGTCAGTCAATTTGTGGGTGAGCACTGTTGAATCTGCTGAACCCATCCCCTTGGTAGAGTTTGCCACTGGCATCGTATATCCATGTGCATAGCTGTGCCATACGCTTCCCTTTTACGACTTGCTGCTTCGGCTGATTTTTGGATTGGCCAACTGATCCAATCCATCCCCAGAGATGGACGTCTCCAGCCCCAGGGCTTCATCTCCAAAAAATATGTATGACCCTCTCCCCAACATCTCAAGATCTGATGGTATTTCAATGGAAATGGAATTTTGACTACCCAATGTTCAGAGAAATCTGAGAAACCCCTTGATTTGGGATCAGGTAAATCATGATGACCTCACTGAGTCGATGTTTTGGATTTGGGTAGCTGTCCCAAAATGACCAAACTGTTCAGTTTGGTGAAGTTATTGACCTCATAATATCTAATTCAGATTATTACAGTATTGGGAAATCATGTTCCCCCTTCCACTAAGTGCGTCATGTTTTCACATGCCTACGTTAGCCGTTATCATCCTCTCCACCAAATTCCAGCCAATCTATTCCTCCATCCCTGAAAACAATGTCCAGCCCTAATCGTCTAACTAAGCTGTATCTCCCATCTCAGATTACCTTAGATATCAACCTCCCACTGACTGAAGACTAATCCGACCTCATCCAATTCCCATTGCACGAGAGATCGTAACAACTACCTAAAGAGTCCATTTCAAAAGGTGAAATATATCGAAATATTTCAAACACGGTGATACAGCATCCACTTTTGGCACGTGTTGCCAAAATATTGACCCATAAAATCATCAAACATTTGATGAAACAAATCGCCTATACCATCTATAGCATCCCCCACCAAAAAGATTCAGAACAAAGCAACTCCTAAAATGAAACAAAAAAATCACAAATTCCAGCGTGGATAGATTCCCATATCCATATCATTCCATATCCCCTTATATCTCCCCTTAGCTTTAATCAGCCAAAAGCTCCCATCCCAGGTCCGTGCGGAGTGTGCTCCAGCTCACAAGGCGGCCTTGGTGGCGGAGCTCCAGACGTCGGGGCGCCGTGTGGTCTTCGTCGGGGACGGCGTCAACGACGCCGTGGCACTGACCGCGGCGGAGGTTGGGATCGCCATCGGCGCCGGCGCCAGGCTGGCGCTGGAGGCGGCGGTGCCTTGGTGTGATGGGTTAGGGAGAAGACCAGGAGATTCATGGAAGATTGACATAAATATATAATATATATATATATATAATATATAATATATATATATATAATATATATATAATATATATATAATGTTGGATCCTGATTAGTGTAGGGGGGACCCCCCCAAAGAAATTTTAGTTTCACTTTAAAGTGTTTTTTTTTATTAGGGACCAGGGACACAGTAAATTGGATCATTTGATTTCAATTGATTTCAAATTGCTTTCAACTGATTTCAATTTACGTTCAACTTATTTTAATTTACTTTCAATTGAATTTAGTTTACTTTCAATTGAATTTAATTTACTTTCAACTGATTTCCAAAATATGCTCAATAAACTTAAATTTGCTTTCAATTGATTTCAATTTACTTTCAACTGATTTTAATGTACTTTCAACTGATTTTAATGTAATTTCAACTGGTTGGCATATGGGCGGACATGTGCTTTCCATCAATTACTGTATTTTCCAGTGGTTTGGCCCAGGCTCAAGGGATTGGCAGTGTATGAAATGAAAAATAACTAACATCACAGAATTCACCTTACCTCCTTACCTTAATAAGATTACCGATTTCATCCCATTTGATACATATTTTTAATTGTGTTTCAAAACATATGATAGCTCCCTTCATCAACATCACTCATCACCCCAGTAATTATGTTTTTTATTATTTGCACATGTTTGCGCTTTTTGAAATCATGCTTTTCATATATGGGCGACATACGAGCCCCTCACTAACAGTTTTTGACTGCTGGTGTGACCCACTTTGAACCACACATCCCTTGCACGGATGTTCCATTTTGGAGGAAGTTATAGACCTGGAAGACGGAGGATATCATATTCAGACGGGTTACCAGGTGTAGAATTGTTTATTTCACTTTTCAAAGGGGAAAACCAGAAAAGATCAGAAAAAGGGGCTTCGGAATCCCAACATTCCCCCTTTTTGTAGGGGGATTATCATGATTATCACTCTGGGTCCGTGGCTTATCCCCACAAACAAACTCACCCAAACCACGAGGTTTTTCGTAATGTTGGTTCCTGATTAGTGTGTGGCCCCCCCCTAAACTATATCTGGACTCTCTTTAAAGTGGAAAGTCAATGTTTTTCTTCCCAAAAGAAAAACATATCCTAAATTAAGTAAGGATTTCAATTGGCTACAATTGAAATCACTATTGTTTTTGTTTGCCGATGAAGTTGTGGTATTTGTATTGCTTGTAGTACATGTAGTACTTGTAGTACTTGTAGTACTTGTAGTACTTGTAGTACATGTAGTACTTGTAGTACTTGTAGTACTTGTAGTACTTGTAGTACTGTAGTGCTTGTAGTACTTGTAGTACTTGTGGTACTTGTAATACTTGTAGTACTTGTAGTGCTTGTAGTACTTGTAGTACTTGTAGAGCTCAGCTAAATCTCAAGAGACACTGAACCAGCTCATGCCCAGCCTGCTACAATAGTGAACCCAGCAAACAAACCTACTAAAGTGAAATGGAGCCTCTCCTGGCCCAGGGCCTTGGAAAATTGTGGAAAAGCTGTTCTTTAATAAGGGTTTAATAAGGGATTGGCTCTTTTGGGAAAGGCTTGGAGTTTGAATTGGGCAATTGCCTTTGGAAAAGGCTTGCTTCTCTTCTGGGCTTCCAGGAGCGGCTCTGGCACAGCTTGCTGCAATAGTGAACCCAGCAAACAAACCTACTAAAGTGAAATGGAGCCTCTCCTGGTCCAGGGCCTTGGAAAATTGTGGAAAAGCTGTTCTTCAATAAGAGTTTAATAAGGGATTGGCTCCTTTGGGAAAGGCTTGGAGTTTGAATTTGGCAATTGCCTTTGGAAAAGGCTTGCTTCTCTTCTGGGCTTCCAGGAGCTGCTCTGGCACAGCTTGCTGCAATAGTGAACCCAGCAAACAAACCTACTAAAGTGAAATGGAGCCTCTCAGCTCATGATCAGCTCATGCTGAGCCCATGCTCATGCTCAGCTCATGCTCAGCCCATGCTCATGCTCAGCTCATGCTCAGAGAGAGAGAGAGGGCTGAGCAAAAACTTGACTGAGCTTCAGCGTTTTGGAAAAAGCCTGCCTCTCAGCAATTACAGGTTGTTTTTTTCAAAAAAAAAACTATCCTTTTTTTTGCCACAAAAGCGAACCCTCCAAACAATACATGAGTTTGAGAATAATTTGGAGAAAATTTGCCACAATAGCGAACCTAGCTACTAATCAGGAGCTAACATTACTTCAACCCCCAAAAGGATGCAGGACAAAAACACCCCATCGGACTGACTGAGGACTCTTTGGTATTATTTTAGAAGTGGATTTGACTTTTGAAACCGCATTTTACCTGGTAATTTTGGATGGATTTCGGAGGTCACCAGGTAAGTGTTGGTTGCGTCGGTGCCTGGAAATTCCTGCAGGATGTGGTGCTGGTGCGTTCGGATCTGCAGGAGCTGCTGACAGTAAAGCAGCTGGCACTGGCTACGGCGCCCTGGTTTGACCATGATTTTCGGTGTATATGAATATATTTGAAATTATTTGAATATATATATATATATGTGTGTATATTAACGTATCATACATCAATCATATGTTTGACCAAATTTTGCAATTTGGTAGTTTTTGAGAGACGTTTTTTTATGTTTTACCCAGGCGCCCTCTAGAAAGTGCTTGGGGTATGATGTGGGGGGTGTCTTGTACCTTCTCAGGAGGTGTTTAGATCCATAGGGACCAGTTTTGGACTTTGGGATTTTAGATTTTTTTTTGTTCGGCGACAGATGGTGGGAAAACAGCCAACCCTCCCCATTGACCCCCCATGGTCCAATAAACCCTTATTGGGGGGTCACCCTGATTTTGGAGGTGCTACTTCGTTATTTTGTAGAACCCCAAAAAGTCATTGCAATCCAGGTTTAACCAAGCGAAAGGTAGGCTAAAATCCAGCAACATGGGTGAAACATGATGAAACTACATACCCTTGAGATCCATAGGGTAGCTTGGGGTTAAGGAAACTTCATGGAAGCGTGTTTCATGATTATTCATGATTATTAAGCAAACACAAGCTGAACTTGGCTATGTTGTGGGGAGGCCACTGCAACAAAACCAAAAATAATACGGCGCAAAGCAACTGCCAAATAGGACAACAGGTGTGCGTACATGTTCCTTTGATTTATAATCTATGACAATAGGAATTGTGCATGCTTCCAGCTCGGGACTCTGAAGGTCAAAGGATTCTATTTGTCCTTTTAAGATTGATTATATCCATGAGCATGTTGTACTGTATCCATGTGATATCCATGTTTGCCTCCAAGACTTCCATGGTGAAGTCCACCAAGTCAGAGTGGTCGGTTTTCCTGAAACCCTCATGGGAGGTATCATGGATTTACCCATGGATTTACCATCGAAGAAATGCAGTGTTTGGTAACATTGGCACACTATTCTACGATAATTCTACATTGGCACACTCAGTTTCACTGACATTTCTACGGTAAGCCTGCGGCTCCTGGGTTCTACATTCTACATGTCAACGTTCAATGGTAAACAAGGTAAACCAAAGCTGGTCGTGTGGTAAACCCAATGATCAATGGTCGAAATTATCAGAAACGGTAGTCTTTTTATATATTTATGGCATTGAATCCCAGAACTCGAGGTTTGGTGCATCAAACGCAACTTTCTGTGGGCCTTTGTCTTCAACCTTTGCATGATTCCACTGGCTGCCGGGGTTCTTCAGCACAGAGGTGGCGCTGAAACGTGGCACTTTTGGATGTCAGTTCTGCTATGTCCAAAAACCCGGGGACCCTTGTGGACTTTGATGGCCTGTGGTGCTGCTTTCAGATGTTCAGATTTTAGGATATTTTAGGACCTACTCCTCCAATAGCATCGAGTTGGTTCACTGGCGCGCCAGCTGCAGGTATCCATTTGCCCCCTGCAGCTGCAGCTGCTGCAATGGCCTGTTCCTCCATTATGGTGGCCTCTGGGTTGAATGTCCCATGCAGCCACTGAATGATGGTGAATTATATGCCCAACTATCAACTATCCCCTCTATTGTTTTTTGTTGATTTGACATGTTTGATTTTGGGTGCGCCTGGCCAGGTTTGAATTTGATCAGAGAAGGATAGTGGGTAGCAGTGTTTGGCCAACCCCAAATTTGGCTATATATAATATAATATATACATGCTTTCTTAAAAGCACAAATAACAAAGACGACTCAAAATTCCCTAAACACACACAGGCTTTCGAGGACACCAGCATGATCACATATCATATCATATTTATATATATATATATATGTTCTTTCATGTTGTGTCATGGGCTTACACATGACACCAAGTACTGTATGTATCCATATGTTATATTATATATAGCATTATTTTACAGTACATTTTATATGGTATTAAATGTATATTGCAACGGGATTAGATAGATAGACAGACAGACAGACAGATATATAGATAGAAAGCTGGATAGCTGGATAGATAGATATATAGACAGAAAGATAGATAAATAGATAGACAGACAGATAGATAGATAGATAGACAGATAGATAGATATACATGTATAATCATGTACATTTATTAAATATACATATATTTAGTAATTATGCAAACGTACAAACATATGTATATATATATATATTTATGTGCATATATTTATATATATAATAATACATATATATATATTATCCACTATATTTTATATATACTATATTTTATAGTACATTATATATATATGTTATGTACTATTATATAGATTACTATATATTATATATATTATGTACTATTATATATATATATATATCATACTATATATATATTTATTTAATATGTTATATATATATATTTCTATTATGTAATATGTTATGTATTTATATATATATATATTTATATTATACTCCATATTATATACATATATGTATGTGTACATATATATATATAGTATATACATATACACTACATATATATATATATACACTACATATATATATACTACATATATATATACTACATATATATATGTACGTATGAGTTGAGCAGGCCTCAACTGAGACTCAACAAATGGACTTGCTGGTTCTGCCACCATGGTATGACCTGGCAAGGGCATCCTTTCCGTCGCCAAGATCAGCCACTTGAATCCCGCCTACTCCGTCATGTCCCATAGTTGTGTTTTCTGAATCTGAACCCCAACTTTTCCCAAGTATTTTCCATTGTTCTTGGGTTTCTGTGATTCTAAACCCCAATTTGTCCAAGTTGTTCCCTCTAGTTTTCCCATGTTTTCCCTTTGTTTTCCACCCCCGAGGTCTCCTCTTCCCTGCTGCTTCGCCGCTTCAAGCCCCGCCCTGGCCGCCACGGCCATGGCCACGCCGCCGGCGGCGCGGCCACGCGGGAGGGGGCGCATCGGAGGAGGCCCAAGGCGCGAGGCAAGAAATACATCGAGATGCGTCCGTTGACCGCGGGCGCCTGGGCGATTTCGCAGCCCTTGCTGCTGTGGGACATCAATTGCATGGGGGAGAAATGGATGGGATATGATGGGATGATTGGCGAGGTTCTTTTGTGAATGGGTGGAGTTGGGGGTGCCATGTTGTGCGTTTGATTTTCTTCCTTGTGTTTTGTGTATGGTTTGGCTTGGGCTGGAACAAACTGGAGTGGGGCTACAGCGCCGAGATCCTGGGGATTCAACCCTGACCCTCAAGGCCTTGTTGAGGGCTGACCAGGCTTAGTAACCACCAACAAGCAACAATGACAATACGGGTTTCTTGCTTGATGTTTTTTGATGTTTTTTGAAGATCGCAAGCCTAGGTGATGACAGCCCGCAAATGGATGCAGATAGTGCTGTGTGACACGTCTCAGAATGGAGACCATGTCCGCAGCGCTGACGAGTGTCACCCTATACTTTATGTTAAGCTCGAGGCAGCTATAGTATATGGATGTAGAGCATGTGCCAGAATACCAGGCCTCCGATGTACAAAGACCCAAAAAGTGTTGGCGACCTGATGGGTGCAATTGGCCACATATTCTGACACGGATCCATATTCAATTCAGCGAGTTGCTATTGGCAGTTCGGCAAGCTTGCGGCAGTTGACTCTTGGATAACTGATGAATAGTGATGATAGATCAATGCGAATTCATTTTTCAATTATGCGGGAATCTCCCCGCCTGCCATGATTGATTACAGGAGTGTAGCAAGGCTTAGTATACGGCGGCAACTTTCCAAAGTTTCGTCATTTTGATGCGCTGGAGCTGCCAAAGCTGTCGTAGCAACGAGCTTTTTGCCACTCGTCATTGGGCGGGTGGCTTCGCCCGGCTTCGCGGTGGAAAAATCTGAAGAGATGCTGTCCCTCTAAAGCCATCTAAGACCTGGAATTGCTTGATGTGATTGTTTCAATGTTTTTTGTCCATTTGTCCAATGGGGAAACCCATGGAAATCCACCATAAAGGGGTAGGGTAGTTCTAGAGAGGAGTATCTGATATGTTGACATGATTGCGTATTTTGGGCGGGGCATATATGTTCGGAGAAAGTGCATGTGAAGGGTCATATACATGGGAGGCCCAGCAAACCAGACAGCCACACCATGTTTTGCGGAAATCATGCCCAACTCATGTTTTGTAGCAAAGATTTTGACATGTGGCCATGCATCGACAGACACAGATTGCAGATTCAGGTGACCTTAGGAGTTCTGCTGATTTTGGAGGAATTCTCATGTTGGCCATCCCAATTTGGGGAAGAAAATAGTATGTAGTTGGGCAGGTTCAATTAATTATAAACATATACGGCAACACAGGGTCTTGTAGAACGACCTTTGCATGAATGTGGGGGGAGCCCGCCAATATTCCCCTACTTTGATGAAGTTCTTTTGTGTGGCGAATGGGCACAACATGCTCAGATGATGCACCAATTTTCGGGCACAGCTGAGCGAAGGTTGGCTCTCTGCGTCGAACTGCATGTTTGGCACTCAGAAAGTCACTGCGCGGTGAGTGACTGCGGTACTTGGTAGACCTTGGTTGAGTTCATTGATGTCCCATCCTTGCCATGGTTAACGGTTAGCTATTGCACTTTATTGTACCGCAGGTAGGGGTTGAAGGATCATAAGGATCCATGCTATAACTATAATAATTATACTGTTTCCTCACTTCCAGGATCATTCAAGATTCGAGACAGATCGATCCAGGCTTGATATGGTTGTGTTAGATAAATGCAATCAGCTTTGAAATGTTATGAAAAGATCACCCATCAGTCCCGGAATTTTCCGGGGAACATTTGCAAGGCCTAGATTTGGGCAAAAACCTTTGGTTTCGTATACATGTTCCCTGAAAGAGCTTGAAACCCAAGCATTGTTGACATTCAATGGGGTTGATGCCTGACAGGTTAGAGTGACACGGGTATAGCTTCATTTTGTAGTCCCCTTGGTTTTCGGAAGGGTATACCAGTTCAATGTGGTTCCTTATGTTTCAGGATCTCAAGGGGCGACCGAAGATCAAGAGGATCAAGAGGAAGTCCTGAAATCAACCAAGACTTAAGGAACAAGACTTGGGCTCATTGCGACTTAACTTCTGAAATATCCTCCCGCATCCTATTGGAGATGGGCCACTTTCCTCCGTTGATTTCAAGTATTGTTCATTTTCCAGCTTACCTGGGATGATACCATTGTTTCTTTTTTCCGGATGACCGGCTGAACTCACCAGCGGCTTTCAGGTTTGTTCAGAAGCGTTTTTCAGACGCGTTTGATGAACCAACTCAGACAGTCACAGGCGGCTGAAATCTGACTTGTGTTGTCCCTAATGGCGCTGCAATCCACACGTCTGGACCGGGTGAATCTGCGGGCAAAGTGCAGCTTGGAAGCACGAGAAGTGAACAGTTGAGGATATGGGGTTGCCCATGGTTGTCCAATAACGGCACCCCAACATGGCCATATATTTGGTGATACGACATCATTATAAACCCTTTGACTTTGGGATATAAAGGATCTTGTGATCTTGGGGGTGCTCCTTCTACCCCTATACTTACTTGATTCGAAATCACTTGTCCAGGAAAAAAATGTTTCACGGTGGTCGCTTCGTAGTTAGAGGGAATGTGATGTATGTCCAAGACCAACTGGTGGTTTCAAAAAGTTTTGTCTAATTTTCCATCCTCCGTAAATATTAATGGTAAGTCCCCAGGGATAACAGAACCATATTAACAATTAAAATCAATCAATGGTTATCATATTTGGTCATAAATGAATGGTAACCATTTTGCCAGAGCGGGAACCCCAGGCCACCATGGGATTCAACAGCTGCCTGAGGCAATGACGGGAGCCCAGCGGCCTTTTTCTATGCGCCACCGCAGAATGGAGTTTGGCACATCCATTTGGAAGGAGGCTGGGCCATGGAGAATAGGGAAGAGGATGTTCATGGATGTACTGTATGATGTGGTTCCATACATGGAAATTAATTTGATCTTAACTCGCCCTGAAAATCAAATATATAGCTGATAAGGTGTATTAGTAGACCAGATGAGGTGTAAGCCGGGCGTTGGGTTAGCCAACGTCAATGCCAAGTATCAAAGCTACAAAAAGTGGTGACCAACTCACCAACCACACATTAGTTGAAACGCAATTAATGCATCACAGATATTGTCGTGCTTGCTCCCAAACATTGCATTATTCATTCTTCCCGACTCTGGTAATGGTAGAATGCTTTGGATGTGAAGAAAAGGGTGCCAGAGTGAGATGACTGAAAATCAATGGGGACCACTGTCAAGCCGTGAATCGTTGGACACATCAAAGAAAATAGAACAACATGGTCTGCAAATATTTCTGGCCGTGTTGATTTAGATGCTGATGTATCTACATACTGTATATGTATATATACATATCTACACATACATACATATATCATTCATAATCTATATAATATACAAATACATTTATATGGTAAGGACATTTAAATATGTAGAGGGCGGGCCAGACTGCGAGGCCCCGGAGGTAGTATGAAATACCAGTTCGTATATTTAAATGTAGTTACCGTATGTTTTCATGAATTGGATTCTGTATGTTTAAATGGCCAGGCGGGCCAAGGAAAACCTTCCCGGAGGTAGTCTAAAATACCTGTTCATATATTTAAAAGTCCGTATATTTAAATGTAGTTACCGCGTACATATACATTTAATTTTATATATTTAGAGATTGTCATTCTGCATATACATATATATATATGTATATACGCATATCATATACACAGCCTGCACATAACCAGCACGAAGTGCTGCTTGTTGATTCCTCCACTGCGCCCCAGGTGGATCCTGTTATGATGAGGACGGAGAACATGACCTTCCAACTATAGGCATTTCATGGGGAAATACCCTCTGGTTATGACTAACAGTTTGCCATGGTATAGATGGCCCATAGAAATAGATGTTTTACCGTTCTTAAAAATGGGCCATCTATACCATGGCTATGTTAAATAACCAGAGGGTATATGGGGAAATATGTGGGGACATATATGGAAAATACCCCAATTATCATGATGAAATGTGATGAACCATGAATTTCTTTTTTAAGGCAACCTTTTTTTGAGAGAACCCCGACTATGCTTTACCCAGTTAGGATAGGTATTGGCCAAAAGCTGAGGGTTTCTGGCACCAAAATTACGGGGTATGCAACTGCAGGACGCACAAAAGGACTTCAAGAAACGCACAATCTAATCTATGCTTTGCGACTCTCAAATGTCTTCATATATACCAGTGATAACACCAGCATGATACATTTGCGAATTCGCGTACTATTTCGCAAACACATCTTGCTCTTTGTTCCTTGATGTTCTTTTCTCGTTGGTGCCTTGTTGATTTTCCACAACTGTGGATGGCCCATAAGCACCAGCCTTTTTGCAGGACACCTGTCTCTCAGTGACCCATGAGAAGTCGCTAATGTCGTCCAATTTTTTGCCCCAAAGCATTTGGCTGGGCGGCATCTTCTCACGCGACAGTACGTCACCAGCCCTGGCACATGCAGGGCATGCCTTCCTGAAGCAACTCGTTGATGTGACTGAGGTCATGGTCATGCCGATGGTTGCAAGGGTGGGAAATATCCCCATGGGTACAACATGGTACAACTATAAAATACTATGAAGATCTATGAGGATAGCCAACGTGCAGACGTACAATTCCCCAGAAATGGCAAGACAAAACTGTACGGCATTGTCCAACTAATAGTCATGGATGTACTGAGGCATTTTGGCCTCAAACATTTTGGCAGGACCAGCTGGGCATAGGCGATTCAAGGGACATCTTTCAACCACCAAAATTATCACAGTGTGATAATTGGCTTGAAAGCGGGGTGTAGGGAGTCAAGCCTATTATGTTAATGTTTGCGGCCGCAGCCTGGCAAAACCACCCGAAGATGAACATGATGTTGAAACATTTAAACAGTTATGATGTTAGATTATGTGATGTTTTTTGGTAGAAAACGTACTCTTTGGAATTGAGACAGGAACCAGACATGAACCATGAGAAGCATGGAACACAAGCGTTGGCCCAAGGTATTGCAGCTCCGACTCATGGCTGGGCAATTCCTCGAAAATTTGGAGGCGCCCTGCAGCTGGGCATCCCAACATAGACCCTGGGGGTTCGGAAGGCGACTTTCCTCAAGAAAAAACGGTTTATTCTGTGATTTCTATAGATGTCTCAGAGTCTATCCTAGTTGGGGGGATGGTAAATGAAATGAATGACCTTGCTCTAAATAAATGGTGGGTGAGGAAATCAGTTCCACAACTATGGCCTGATTAGGGAATCATTGCAACTTGCCCAGACAAAAGAGAAGTCGTCCCATGATCATGATGAAATAATTAGACAGACATAAGGGACATTGATGGTCGGATAATATGTTTTTTTTCCAACGGATATGGTCAATGTCAATGCTTGCAATCAATCCGTTGTTGACCCATTTGTTTGGGATGGACATTCATTGATCACGTTCTCAGAGGCGATCTGTCCTGGACAGCACGTGGCTAGATTTTCTGGCTGATTTGATGTTCTCGGGGTTGATTTATTTCAAATCATTCATGTGACCAAAAGTATCAGGACCCATAAACTATGGAACAATATGAATCTTGATAGTTTCCAAGTTAAGGATTGCCAATGTCCTTCGAACCTTGATGTTTTGATGTCAGCCTGGTCCAGGGGTCGTCCCTTTTTCTTTCACGGAGCTGTCATCCTGGCCGAAGCTGTTGCCTGGCGACACCGGCGCGGGGCCGTTCCAATGGGGGATCCCCCCAAACGATGGGTCTCAAGGCCAAAATATGCGAAAATGTTCCAATGAGTTGGATGATTTGGGGAACCCCCATTTTAGGAAAGCTCCAAATAGGTATTCGAAAAGGGAAATTATGAGAAACAGTGGGATTCAAGATGATTTAAGGGGTGCCATCATTTTTTTGTTTGAAACAAAGCCGTATCGTCACTTCCTCTTGCTTCTTGGTTTACAATTCGGTTGGCAGAATGTTGGCAGTTCAGAAGCATGTCATCACTGAGACCAGGTGATGGGTTTGTATGAAAATTGGAGGAACCCCAATTCCAATGGCTTAAAACCTTATTTTATTTCCTCTGAACAATTTCTCATTTCTTCATGTTGGGGCATCTCAAAATCCATATGTTTATCCTATATTTTTGGGACAGTCAGCCATAGGTGCCAGGTGTCATCCATGGATTCCAGGCCGCGGAGCCCTAGGTCTATGCCTTGCTGGACCGGGGCATGAAACATGCAGAGATGGTCCTCTTCAGCGGTTGCAGCGCTGGTGGACGAGGCCGAATCGGCGCCAGGAATCAGATGGAATTTTGGCTGGGTTGCCTAACCACCAGAGGTCCGGATGTGTGGATTTTTCTCCGGCCAAGCTTGGGTTTTAAGGAGGGACATGGTACATCTAATTGGTGGCCTATTCTTTAGCTATTCTTTCAGGTGTGCGGATTAAGATTCATAAAAAGTTGGCCAGACTGAACACATAAGCTGAAGACAGGGTGAATTCATAAGAAGTTGGCCAGATCAAAATCACAGACCGCGGATCAGTTGCTTGGATGATACCTCAACACCTAATGAGACCTAATGCTGGCGCATCTATATACGGACATCTTTTCCATGTAATGGTATATACTCAAGGAGCTGGGTGGTTGGTGTCACTGAAAATGAAGGAAATTACAAGCGCACCCTAACTATCACCATGTTGATCATTAATTGAACCCCTCCAGCAATCTCATGGTTAGTGGAATAATGAAGATAATTTGACCCCCAAGAAAGACCAAGTATGTGAAGGCCTTGGGCAAACTCAAAAATCAACAAGCAACAATGAGTGTACACATGACTGCGCATGATTATACAATAAAATAATAAGAATAAAGGATAATAATAATACTCTTATTGTTATTATATATATGTCATAGCATATATACATATATATATATATATATTTATAACATGAAGAATGTATGGGTAGACTATGTAGGTCACCTGTAGGTCCAGCATTTTCCAGGAGCCATCTACAATTTGGACGGCTTGTGCAGCCTGGTTTCGTCCTTTTCCCCCAATGTGCGCTGCTTGGGCCTGGGCGATTCTGCCTGGTGGATGGAGAGTGCCCCGGGCGACATTTATGTCCCATATCCTAGCTGCAGGTATATATACCCTTTGATTATTTAACATACCCATGGAAAATCCATTGTAAATGGAGGTTTCTAGCTGGGACAATCATCTATTTCTAGCCATTTTCCATAGCTATGTTAAATAAGCAGAGGGTATGTACATAGATTTCTAGTCGTTTCATTCTGAGCGTATCGACTCTCGCTGCCTCTATATATATATATTATAATGTTTAGTATGTATTTGCTATTGCCGTTTTTACTATTATGATATATGTTGTTTCGTTTCTATCAATATCATTATTATTACATAGTAGCATCATTCTCGCTATTGTTACTGTATTCGACTGATGTTTTATCCACCGATTTTGTGCTTTTTGGCGGATGACCTAAGGGACAATCTAGTTGAACCATACTTCAAAGCAAAGCGCTTTTCTTGTCCATCAAGAATACACTTTCTGTGCAACATTGACCAACGAAGAAACAGATCCTTCGATTACTATCAGGTAAACATGGATTTTGAAGAACAAATCGCTGTGGTTTACACTTCTGAAGAATCAGAACTTTGAGCGCCCTGGGCCATCTTTGGGGTCTTCCTGGGTGAAGAGCGATTTTTTGGGGCATGAGATACTTCTCAGGTGCCTGTCCGCCGATGTCATATCAACCTTGTGGCGTGAAAATGAGGAAAATCAGAATTGACGGGGGATATTCGTGGATCAGTTTGGCAATGTCTAGTTTCTATTTAGGAACGGACACGCGTCTATGTAGCAAAATCACTAAGTGATCATTCCCGATCATTCCCGCCCAAGGGGTGAATGTCGTGTATGTATAATGCCATATCAATAAATCAATCAACCAAAAAATCTATCTACTTAGACTTAGACCCTCGAAGTACCCACAAAAAATTGCAAAAGTCGCAACACATCACGGGGATATAACAAGATATAACAAGATATAACAAGTATATCCCCCAATTTGGTATATGTTACAAGTATATTGCCGGTTAACATCCAATTTAAATGAAATATGTTACTTAATTTTAGTTTATACCTGTTTAATTAACCTACATATGATCATTGATTACCATATATTATGAACATGTATGAACCATATATATACATATATATATATATATATATTATTATTGGTTGATCTATATATGATATCGATATCTATATAGCATCTACACACACACATATATATATATATTGATTCATTTATTTATTTATTACCATAAAGTACTTGGAGGCTCTAGCTATAGTTTTCCATGTCTCGTTTCAGGTGTTTTCCTGAGCGGTGGCTTGGAACTTCAGTCCTTGCTGCGCAAGAACGCTGCACACGGCCGTACCTTGGGATGTTTTTGTTGGTCGAGAGATGTCGAAGATCACCATGTTTAAATGGGAAAATCAGGGAAAATCATGGAAATGATCTACACATATGGAAAAACATGTGAAATCCAGCCCAGCATACAATGAAAGGAAAGTGGCGATGAACAGAGACAGAGAGAGAGAGAGAGAGAGAAGGGAAAATCAGCTAAATGGGAATATGTTTAGTATTTTTGGGGATGTTGGAAAATCTCCAAATGGAGGTGTTAATGGTGAAGTCATGGAAAATTGGAAAAACATCGAATAACATGGGGATATGATCCCAACAATAAGTATATAATGTAAATTGTGATATACCATCTGGTAAACATACAAACAGCTATGGAAAATCATTGTGGTAAATCATCTATTTCCATTGTCCATTTTCCATAGCTATGTTAGTGCAATGGAGGGTAATGGGATGTGCTGTAGATTGTTAGTGCTGTAATTGATGACTCGGTTGCACCAGGAGAGGTTTGGGGTGGCTCCTGGCTGTCTCAGCCACTATGGCGTTGTCGGCAAGCACAGCAGCACCTTCCAAAGGTATCCACAGGTGTTGAAACGGGCCAGGGCAAATGTCAGAAGTCAAAAATGCAGTCTGGAAACCAAAGCCCCTTTTGGGTGATGATTTTTTCATAATTTTCCATGGTTTCCTGGAAAATTGGCCTTTTTACCCATTCAAATACCCAATGACACTCGATATTGTTCCAGTCACTACTCAGTGATTAAGTTCTGTCATCAAGCAGGCCGACGTGCTGGAATGTTTTCCATGGAGTGCCCATTGAGTTCGGTGAAATGCTGTTTTCCAGCCAGCTTAATGTTTGATGAAACCGCAGGGTATCCCCCCTAGCTTTCTGGGTAATCTTGATTTTGTGTTCTTTGATCCACGATGTTTGATGCTTAGTCATTTGAGATTATTTAAGCTCCTTATTTTAGTTGATATAATCCAGCATGTTTCGTTGGTGGAATATAGTGGAACTGGCTTGGCTAAATCATATGTTTTTTTAACTTAAAACCTGGGTGAAATCCACATGTTTGTCCAATTGCATCAGATTCCCAATTCTGGTTGGTCAGATGATGTCAAAAGCACATGTTTTTGCTTGGTTGATTTTGCACCACAAAATCACAGGCGCTTTGGCCAAGTTCTCTCCGAACATTAGCCACTTTGACCGGTGCATGTTTGGCCCAACCCTGGCGGAGCATCTGCAAACAGCAACCCTGCTCTCAATTTCGTACCTTGGAAGCTCGTAGAAGCCTTTTGGCCCTTGCTTTTGATGGGGAAAATGATGGAACACTTCCACGGATTTATCCTCATTTAGCTGAACAAATGGGGAAACGGCTCTGGAATTAACATGAATTAACGTGAATCTACTAGACGATGATTTACGGTCAGGAAGTATATGAAGATGTAAGATAGCGTTTTAGTAATCTAACCTGACAATGGAACAAGATTGCTCATTCAGAAACCAGAATTCTGCGCTGTTGGATGACCAGGGGATACATCTGCATTTCACTGGCAGACCTGGAGATACCTGGAGGCTCAAGATACGGGCATCTTTAGGTGTGGCATATGTGTT